TTAAACTGCATTAAAAAATTATGAAGGATGTTTATATATTTATTATCTTTTTTTAACAAAATATTTGTACTTTGATTTTTTTTAACTATTACTTTAAAAATATGTAATTTTATTAACTAGAAAAGAGGCTTAAAAGTTAAGAAGAAAGGTCAACAAAATGAATTTATCCATAAAGTCAACACATGCACTGGTTAATGTACAAGCTACATAGAAACAATGAAATTAGAGACATGGAACATGGGCTTGTTATACATGGTAATAAATATAAACATTCTTATTTTTATATTAATTAAAATTACATGATTATGATAAACATGCATGTGATGATATGTTAGGAAGAGTTTTAAAGTGTTAGAACTATAAGGTTTTTGTTGTAGCGAGAATAAGATAGTAAAAATGGAATATTTTAGAGCGCTCTCGCTATAGCGAGAATATCTCGTTGTAGCGAGAATTCCTCATTGTAGCAAAAAATGTAGAAAACATAGAGTAATTTTGTTTGATACTTTCGTCGTGATAAGAGAAAGCATCATTGTAGCAACAATTTCTCGCTATAGTGAGAAATGACTCATTGTACGAGAAGTATTACGAGTAATCTCTTGTTGTAGTGAGAAAGACTCGTTATAGTGAGAATATTGCGATTCTAAGGGTATTTAACAGTTTTCGTGCATGAAATTTCATTTCTTCACATTATCTCACGTCTCACTCTCGTTTTCTCTAAACTTTCTTTACACTTTCTCAAATAACACCTCTCCAAACACCAATTATTTTCTAAATATATTTGTTCTAAGTGATTCTAAGTAAGTTTTCCTAAGTTTAATCGTATATTTACCGTTCGTTTTCTTTGAATCTTGTTCTTAAGAAACAAATTTGTGTTATCTAGGTAGAAGTACTATTTTAAGACGTTCTTCATCATCAATCTTCATTTAGATCTTCATTATAAGGTAAAAAGAGCTCTATTATATCATTATATGATGTAAATTATATGTTGAGTTCATGAGAGCATGTTTATGTAACAATTTTGATAAGGTATGGATGAGTAATGAGTATTAATAAAGAAAGATTGCTAATATGCATATGTTTGATGGTTGGTTAACTAATTATACTGTGTAAATATGAAATATATGATGAAAAAGTATAATATTATAGTTGAACAAGTTTGATGAAGGTATTGGATGTGATATGAGCTTATTGCTGAGATATGCCTGAAAATGATGAATGAGTCATCGATGATTTATTGAATGATGTGATTATTGAGATAATGAGTAAGTGATGAGTAATATAGAATTAGTTGGAAGTGTTATTAAGCCCGATCTTATGAATGGATTGGTGTAAATAGTTACAGAGATGTATTGAGATATAGAGTCCAGAGATGATAAGAAAATCTTAAAAAAATGTAGGATAGTGAATGACATTCGCGTTTGTGCACATATTATTGTTGAGTGCGAATGTACCACATGACTTCACATTCATTTTCTGACTAGACTCTTATCTGTACCTTTCGTAAGGGGCTCGTAATTACATGCGTTGTATTCATATTGCATAAGTTAACCAACGATTATTTACATAATTGAGTAAGACCTTGAGAACTGCTGGAGGCATCAAATGATTGTGATCACAGTGCACTGAAAGTGTGTATTTGGAAATGGAACAATAAGAATATATTGAAATTACACTAATGATTATTGCATATTTACGATTATGGTAATAAGTGATATGATGCAATTGCGTTATGTTTGAAAGGTGGAATAGTTACTTACCATTACACCACTCAGTAGGTAGCAAAATGACAACACATCCCATGCAGATTGATATAGTAAATGTTTATGTTAGTAGTAGATTAAATTATGTATTTAAGAAATATAGACTTGTTGTACATTTACATTTTAGAGTATTTTTTAGAAGTAATGGGGAGTACATATTAGAAGTAGTCTATAATTTTGTAGTTCCTTTTGATTTCTCGATTAGTGGTCAAATTTATTAGTCTCTCAGTTTTTATCTATACTAGGAAATAGAAAGGTCTTTTCGGATTATAAATAATGTATTTACTTATCATGATCATAATTTGTTAAGAAGACCTAATAGTTATACATTTGAGAGATTCCTTAATATAGAGATAGTGTCAAATTCTTGTGATGCCTATCTTAGAGAGGATGATGAATTAGTGAAAATTGAGGGTTGACATGATATAGATGAATAGTTTTAGGACCTCAGTATGTAAGAATGAACAGGAAATGCTATAAATATTGATATGTTATGGATAATTATATGTATATATTAATTTGTAATATATTTTATGCAATTATTTTCTTAAAATTATTTGTATATAAATTAACTGTTATGAAATGTTTTATCTTTGAAAAATTTGATTAATTGTTATAAGGAAAAATTAATTATTCTTTTTAAAATTTTATGAAATTAATATATTTAAGATAGATAAATGTAAGGTATTACAGTAAATAACATAGTGTAGATCAGAAATACACTTGATTATATATTTACATACAGAACGATTTTTTTACATTAATATTTATAAAGATTCTTACATTTAATTTGAATATTTTATTTAATAATTTATTAAATAAAAATTAAATAAAAAACTTAAATTAAATATAAATTTTTTTAGATTTACACTAGTATAAGAATATTTTTCCTCTACTTAACTTATATCAGAGTGTACGTATTACATTCAGCAGTACATATGGAAAATGATGCAATAATTGGTGTTAGTTGATTTGGAATTTATTTCACTCACAACTTTCCTAGACAATTGATTTGGTATAGCCCATCAAGAATCGATAAAAGAGAGGGATACCAACTCTATTAAATATTAATAACAACTTATCTGTTAGAATCAGCCAATTTTTTTTTTCCAATTTTTCAACTATTTTGTAGGCAATCCTTAAACTATTAAATTAAAACGTGTTTATAGTATTTAATATTATATTTTTTAATATAACTTGGACTTAATTATATTTTTATCATCAATCTAATTTAAATACATATATTTTTAGTTTTTATTTTTTTCAAATTAATTAATTCACTTAGATTTTAAAATCAAACAAATTGAGTCCCCAATCGACCAAAAATTTACAAATTGTCATATTTTACTGAAAATATTTATTGAGTTAATCAATTAAATTTTATTTTTTAAAAAATCACAAAGTAAAACATCAAATTAAATCTAGAATGGAAAAAGGAGACAGAATCTCTCCTCTTTAAAACCCTAACCTCCTATCTTATTTTTTTAATTTTATTAATTTTTCTAAATTTCTTTAATATAAACTTTTAAAATCACTTCATATATCTAAAATTCATATTGCATCATTTAAAATTTGACTGTTCTAAAATAGAAAACGTGTAAAGTAAGAAAGTAAAATAAGTCATGAATGACATTGACCCCTATATTAAAAAAAAAAAAAAAAAACTAAACCTAAACTCATTATTCACATTTTATTAGTTTACATGAATATAGCTTCATTGTGTGTTTGTTCAGCAAACTATCAAAACATGAATGTCATTAAAATGTTAACATTAACGATGAAAATTTAATATTAAAATATAATTTAAATAGATTTTTGGTTTAGTCCTTTCAATTTGTTTAATTTCTTAAGTTAAAAACTTTATTAATTTTGGTCTTTAATAACCATTAAATAATAACATGACTAATTAAAAAAAATCATCATTTATCAATTTTTTATGAAGTCATGTTAACAAGAAAAATTAAAATAAAGAATTCACAAAAATATAAAGCATAGAAATATCATATTCAAACCTTAAACAATTGATTAAACAGCCAAGATTTAATAGACAAAAAACAATATAAAAAATTAATATAATCTCATTTAAAATTTCTTTTAAAAAGAAAACAAATCACATTAATCAGTAAGAGAATGAAGAAGCAAACGAATCCTTTTTATGGGTTGAGAGGAAGTCATAATTCTTCTCAACACAAGGTTTTAGATTCTAACCTTAAGAATGAAAAAAAAATATATCCAGTAAAAAACCAGTCCTACAATACCAGGAAAGGAATTGCCTAATGTAAGTGTAAACTGGACTGGGCTACGTGTGAAACAATAAGAATATGAAGATAGAGAGGATGAGTTTAATGGCCTGAATTTATTATATCTGTGGGTCAGGTAAGAAAATGAGACCCATGATTAATAGCAATGGTTCATATCTATTCTCAATTCAGGTCCATTCAATATTACTAACATTTGGCCGTCGTTACTTGTGAATGTCACGTCGTTTCTGGGCACACCAACTGAATAGAAACTCGTTTCACTTTGGATCTTGTTCCTCCTTAGACTCATCATGACACAATTTAATTCCAACCGCAAAACATCAAACTCCGTGTCAGGTACCAATATGATCTATCATGCTCAATCACTTTTCTATTACTCTCGTCAAATTATCTTTCCTACCATTCATTTCAATCTAATGGGTATTGCTTTCATGTATTATTTTGTTTATTTTTTCAATATGATCCTTATTGTGTCTTCTTACAGATTGATCTTATTGTCTGATCTATAGAGATTGAATTTTGCATTATTGGACTTCTAATTATCTGTTTTTGTAATTTTTACTTTTGGATCTGGTATTAAAATTTATTAGTAAGAAGTTCGGAATATATGTTATTCATGTCGTAGAACTTAAGTATGCATTAAAATAAAAGGAACTGATTTTCATTGGAGGCTTTCTAAGATTAATGTTATTTATACATCAAAATTTTACACAAAAGAAACAGATAGGAAGAGAAGAGATAGAATTAAATGATAAAATAAGTTATGTGGCGGAGAAAATAGAGAAAAAGAGTAAATAAGTAAAAAAATGTTGTACAGATTTACTGTATGATTAGATTATTTTGAGTCCCCAAATTTACTGTAAGAGCCCCAAATTTGCCTGAAAGAGCAAAGGAAGAATCTGGGGCTATATTGCATCCTCAGAAGTGTTGGTGCAATCATAGCAGGGAAACTCATAGTGGCATCGACGAGAACAACACAATGGATGATGTTAAGGCTCCTAATGTGTTTGAGAGAGCAAAGGAGGAGTTTCACGCCCTTGCTCATATGTTCCATCACAGGAAAAATGATCCAACTTGTGATATAAGGTTCAAATCATACCCTCTTTGAAAAAGTCAAAATAAAATTGGACTGCTGAAAGTAGACATTGCTGTTGAACAGACACTGATTTGTAATTGTTTTTGTGATATAGTGATGAAAATCAAATGGCCGATTCATCAAAACACAAAGAAGAAACCCCAAGCTCTTTATCAGGTATGCGTGGATGCGTTTACTTTTTTCTTGGTCAGTTTGACATTGTGTACATAATGTGTTGATAGATAGATTCTTTAGAATAATGCTTAATTGACATTAGAAAGGTGACCACTAATAGAATGGCCTCATAAACTTTACGTATTTGGTCCTGGCCTTACTGGTTTTATTATGTAAAATTCATTTCTATGTTTTGATAATGGTTTGAGGATCTTTTGGTTGGTGGTTTCCCTTGTGAATGACTAAGTGCCTATTTGTATGCAAATTTACGCAGAAATGAGACTACCCAAAAATGAGACTGTCTAATTTTATTCTCACTTAAACAAAAAGTAATTGGACAGTCTTGTCCCAGCATAAATTTGGAAGAATTGGGTTCGATTTCCAAGGCACATTATGTGAGAGCCTGAAAATTATTTATTCTCTCAATTCCTGTTGCACAATGGGACCCTAACATACATATTATTGTAGAAGCACGTTAGGCCTGATGCTAATATTGCTCTTTTGATAATTTGGATGCCTTGCTTGTGGTATTTCCAAAGAATTATATGAACTTCTCCATTATATGTCATATGAATGCAGAAAATGACTGTCATGCCTTATAAGTAATTTAAGCCGTTCTTCAATAATGGGTGTTGGTTTGATCTATATGCTAATTCAGGATGAACTATTTTTTGACTTGGTATGAGGCATTTTCTATTGGCAGAAACAAAAGCAAAGGCAGCAAGGATATTTGAGAGAGCTAAGGGAGAGATTAAAGCCATCATACATCATGACAAATCAAAACACCATTATAAAGAAACTCATGGAAGGAATGATAATATTAATGAGGATGCCCCTAACAATCCCTAACTATGAAGTTAAGGGTCCGAGTGTTTATGAAAGAGTAAAAGAAGAATTCGAAGCTGTTTTCCAAGCTATACATCCTAAGAAGGAAAGCTTACAATACATAGAAGGATGGTGAATCCAATTTGATTGGGGAGAATTATGTTTATGAGATAAACAGTATACATATGCTTACGTATTTTGGAATTTTACTTCCCTAAAGTGGGTTCTTCTTTTTCAAAGAAAAGTAAAACACTCCTAGTATTGATGATAAAAATTTATTGCTGATATTACATATGCACATACATAATAAATTTATCATTTGTTAAGATTAGTACCGTTAATTTTTTTATTAATGATTGAGAGGCATCATTTTTCTTCCTAGAGTAATAATGCATTTGCTTCAATTTAGAAGGGTTTTTTTTTTCCTTTCTCTGTATTGTTATACCACATGAAAATCTCTCTAGCAGCGTGATTTTGATTCATTGAGAAAGAATAGAATTATACAAATAACGTGTGCTCTTTGTTGCTTCATGAAAGATATTTTCCTTTTCATTTCACTCTCCATTGCTTGCTTAAACCACTCAGAATTTTATCGAATGAAAACTTACTCTTTGTGGTTGAAGACAATCTGGTCAATGGCCATGTAACTGCTACAGGCATTGCATTAAAAGTAAAAGACATGATCTATTTTTGTTGATGTTCAGTATACCTGATTAACAATAAGATAAAAAGTAAAAGATTGGAAATATGAAAAGTAAAATAAATAAAGTAAATGAAAAGTTAATTAAAAAAGTCAAATAAATTTAAAAAGTTTTAGTAATATATTACCATGTGACACTTTTAGTGAAACAATTTTAGTAAGGTAATAAATTATTAAAAACCGCTTTATTGGCAACGAGATGAATACTACACACATGTTGTATTGTTATTGCTCACATCATTTTAAATAATTTATATTATATATATTTTAAATAAAATGTTGCATAAACTACTAACCAGTTATTAAAAAAGTATACAAAATATAGAAATCCTTAAAAAAAAAACAAAATAATATGTTATATTTATAATTAAAAATATCTCTTGAAAATTAAACAAATTCCTTGCATTGCGTCAACTAGAATCCGAAAAAAAGAGTCTTGAACGATGTGTAAAATGCCTTACAAGTGAAGGCAACTAAAGTATGCATACAAAAAGGCAAAGGAATGGGTGGTGGAATGAAGTCATGTTAAGGACTTTTGAGGGGCATCTTTATCCCAACCCCCAATTTAATGCACACATAACTCAGTCTGGACCACCGCCAAGAGGAATAATTCAGCTACTACTGAATTCAATTAATATAATGCATCACCCATCACTGTTAGCGATGTTACTAGTCCATATCTACAATTTGTTAATATATATTACTCTTTAAATTCACTTTAAATATGGTAAAAATTATATTTGTTTGGTACATTGGTGTCTGCATGACTGCATGTTGTGCTTGTTGCTGCACCTTCGTCTTATGTTTGTGCTTTTGTGCCTCCATACAAGGTTGTTGCTCCTTCTTTGTTGGAGTGAGCTTGTTCCCACTGTCGTTGACAAGTAGATTGTCTATCGTGTTGTTATTGCTCGTTGTTCTGTTTTCATTGTTTCTTGTTCATTTTTTAGGGTTAGTTCTATTCTGTCAAAATCATTTTTTTTATGAATTCTTACAACTTTTTGTTTATTGCTTGATCGGTCTAAATTTCATAAGATTGGCGATGTTATTGCTAGATAGTGAGAATTTGGTGGAAAACAAAAGGGACAAATTAAGAGGGTACGAAAAGAAAACAAGTTAAACATTGTTGCTAGCTAAAATGCTAAAACAAAAATGATAAAAGAAAGACAATGTATTTAAAATTAGTCCTTGGTAAGGGACCATTTCAAATACATTGTATTGTCCACTCTCTTCTATGATGAATTTAAGGTTTTGATTTTCAGCAGGGGCTAACATTTGTACACATTCTCTTTATATAACCACATGTCTTCTAACTTTTCATATCAAATTAAATGAGAAAATTGTTATATTAATATTCCAAATATAACAGTGACAATAAGTAGGTTTTAAAAACATTTTAATTATCAAATTGGTTTCTTAAACTATTTAAATTGTTATTACATTGTTTTTTTTAAAGATTTATTATAATTCAAAGATTTAATTTGCTATTAGATTAATCTTTCACATATTTAATATCTTGCCATACCGATCCATAAATAAGATTAGAATGATCAAAACAAGAGTTTAATTTAGTAATAAATTATATATATATATATATATATATATATATATATAAGGATAAAGATGTATAATTTCATTAAATTAATCTTAATGAATGAATAAAATGGTTACAGAAAATCAATTGAGTGACAAAAAATTGGGAGGACTAATATTGTAATGATTCAAAAAAATTTAAAAATTATTTTAGTGCTTCAAATCAATTAAATGTGTGTGTCCAACGTGATAAAGTCATTGGTTTCAATATTAGAAATAATTATGATATTTTTACAATTTTTTTGTCATACATTGTATTCCTTTTTATCTCTCTTCATTCCGAATTCTTACGCTCATAAAGTTACTCTGTAAGAAAGTCACTACTCAAACCAGTGTGTTTTGGATTTTTGATCCTATTGATAAGGGAATATATATCTTATCTTGAGATGAAAAAAATAGAAATTATATTGGATACATTTTATTTAATAATTAAGAGAATTTATAAAATAAAAATTAGAATGCTGGAAAACATATCCTGATGCACTGGGCACAGCAACTTAATGATAGCGCACGTGGTTTCCGGTGGTCCCTTCCGGAAAAATCCTGTCCGTTAAAAATCATGGGAGACAGCGAAGAATAATAGTAGGCGTGTGATGTGAAAGGGACAGTGCAGCTGATAACATACGACACACATCCAACACAACCCCATTCCAAATCCATTGCTGTACGGACAAACAACTTGCTGTTGTAGTTGTTTTTATTATAATACTTTTATTTTTTCACTGTTCCTCCTATTTTCTCTGTTTCTTCTATTATTTAAGTCAACTTTCATAATTGAGTTTAAGTATATCGATTATTATAATTCAACTCTGTATCTGACACAAGTAAAAAACAATGAAACCTTATCCACCGAATAAAATCGGCTATATCAATAACGTAATTAATTCTATTCATTTTCAGAAATTCAATTAATTAAAATGTCTCTCTTAGCGATATTTTTCAGATTTTTCTCAATTTTATTTTATCCATTTACAAAGAGAAAAAAAAAACTAAAAAACAAGAGATAAATAAAATAAATAAGTATATAATAAATTATTCTCTTTCTTACGCATTCAAGTTTGAAACTGTTTTTAGGCTGAAGGATGAAGCACAAATGCCAATCTCACTCTAACTATACACAATGAACCAATGCAATTGCCCCCTCTCTCATTTGACCCCATAATAACAACCTCTCTTCCTTCTTCTTCTTCATCCTCTCTCTCTCTCTCTCTCTCTCTACACACACACACATATCTTCTTTGCTTTTGAACCTGCACCGTCCTAAAATTGCAAAATTTCTCTCGTTTGTCTCTTTCACCTAATCTCATGTACTTCAGAAGCGGATTCTCGGACTCAAACAACGCCACAAACAGCGGTGTGTGCTGCACAGCCGCCACCAACAGTGGCGAAGCCCATTCAACTTCAAGCGCGTCAGACGTCACCGCGCTGAGGCGCCTCTCGGAGAATCTGGCCTCAATATTCGAGGCCAACAAAGGGGGCTTTGATTTTTTCTCTGACGCCAAGATCGTGGCCGGCGATGGGCGCGAATTCGGCGTGCACCGGTGCATTCTGGCAGCGAGGAGCGTGTTCTTCAAGAACGCGTTTGCGGGTGGCGGCATGCTCCGGTTGAAGGAGGTGGCGAAGGACTACGATGTTGGGTTTGAAGCGCTTGGGAGTGTTCTATCTTATTTGTACAGCGGCAGAGTGAAGGCTTTAGGCGAAGGTGAAAGTGGTGTTTGTGTTTGTGTTGATGATCAGTGTTCCCATTTTGGGTGTAGACCTGCTGTCGATTTCTTCGTTCAGTTGCTTTATGCTTCCTCTACTTTTCATATATATGAGTTGGTATCTCTTTATCAGGTATCTATGCAATTTCCTTCATTTCCGTTTCTATTATTTCTTTATTTACATGAGTTTATTAATCATTTATCAAAATTATTTTTTATTATTTTCATGTTTTTTAATTTATTTTATAATTAAATGTTTTAATTGTAATACACAAGTTAATTTAAATATTAGTTCACAATGTAATAAAGAAATTAATTATAATCAACTTTAGTTAAAAAAAAAATAACTCGTACATTTTTTTAAGTTTGTATTATGATAAATACAACTTATGCATTTTTTGATCTTTTATCCAAATTAAATAAAAAAAATATAATTTTAATTAAATTTATTAATATTTTTGTATGATAATTTTATAAATTATTAGATAATATCAATATAAAAATAATATTTTGAAGGATATAAAATTTAAATTTTAAAGTAGATAAAATTAAAATTCTTACACCACCATGTAACATATAATTAAAAGTCTTACATATAACAAATATATATGAATTCTATCTTTTAATTATATGGTGCATGGTGTTGTAAGAATTTTAAATTTATGTACTTTAAAATTTTAATTTGATATATTTTAGCATTGCATGATTAAATGTATTGAAAGATGGTGCACAAAATGCTGATAAACATCAAAATTTAATAGAGATAGATGATAAATGTTAGATACACTAGAACAAATTAAACTTAACAATATTGTTCTTAGTACATAACACACTGAATTAATTATGTTAACTAGAGGATGGAGTATGCGGATATGTTTGTTTGGTGTGACTAGTACCTCTATACAATTCACACCATTTTTCTTGTTTTAGACAATCTTGTCCATTTTATTGTGCATGCTCGTGGTAACTAAATGAGCTCAAGAGTTCGCTTAAGTGTAGAATTTGACTGTATAGTTGGTTTAATGTATTGCGGCTACATGTTTTCATTTGAAATTGAAGAGAATTGTGCTTTATACACATTGAATACAGACTCCATAGTGTAAACCTCATAAACAAAAGAAAACATGAATGTAAGTCTTTGTCATCTCACTACAAATTTCACACTCAGTTTGAAATTTTTTCAAAAATAATCATGTAAAGTTAAGAGTTATATATATTCATTTATGTTGAAAGAGAAAAATTGTTACAATTTTAATCAACATAAATATGTTAAAGTCAACTTTTGTGTAAGACAAAAATCTATATTAAAATCAATTTCTGTTTTAAAGAGAAATTTATTAAAATCAACTTAAGTTCAAGAAACCACTTATATGAAAGTCGATTAAAGTCAACTTCTTTGTAAAAGCATGAAAAATATAAACAAAAATCGATTACAATTATCGTAAATTAAAGTGTGAAGGAAAGTTGATGTAAATAGACTTATTTGTAGGCACAAATTTTAAAATGCTAGAAAGTCAATTCAAATAAACTTTTATTAAAGCTTATGCAAAAATTACAAGAAAATTGGTTAAAATCAATTTTTGTTAAAATATAATAACGACATATATATAAACAAATTCATAAAATGGCATTTAAGTAATATTAACCTTCAATTTATTTATTTATGTCAAAAACCCAAAAACAAAATCCTATTAGTATTGAATATATTTTAAGATAGAATACTACGTCAACCTATGGTACCTTTATATGAATATTTAAAAATTAATTAATATAGTATGTGCTTTTAAAATATAATTTTTTATCCTTATTTTTTTTGTATTTCTCGCGTACACCTGTTTCCAAAATATATTTTAAAAATTAAAACTAAAAATGCAATTTTTTTTTTTTACCACTTTTCATGTTGAAAAACACAGTTATTATATTATCCCTCCCTGCCAGAAGTGAGGTGCTGAAATCTATATCCAAAGCATAGCATATTTTGAAATATGTACATTTGCCATCTTATATTAGATGCTGAAATATGAAATATATAATTCTATACATCATATTTTGCTTGATTTTGGCAGCATTATTATACACACTCATTTCCTAAACCCTTCAAGCATAGTTTTGTTTACATGCAGGGACATCTACTAGACATTCTTGACAAGGTGGCAATAGATGACATTTTGGTGGTTCTTTCCATCGCAAACATATGTGGCAAAGCATGCGATACACTGCAAGCAAGGTGCACTGAGATAATTGTTAAATCCAATTTTGACATCACCACTCTAGAAAAAGCACTGCCACAACATGTGGTGAAACAAATCATGCAAAAACGCAAACAACTTGGCATGGAAATGCCCGAAATTTTCAACATTCCAGACAAACACGTAAACAGAATACACAGAGCACTGGATTCAGACGATGTGGAACTAGTGAGGTTGCTTTTGAAAGAGGGACACACTACTCTAGATGATGCTCATGCACTTCACTATGCTGTCGCATACTGTGATGTAAAAACCACTGCTGAGCTTCTTGATCTTGGTCTTGCTGATGTGAATCAAAAAAACCAAAGGGGTTATAGTGTGTTGCATGTTGCTGCGATGAGGAAAGAGCCTAAGATTATAGTGTCTCTTTTAACAAAAGGGGCTCAACCTTCTGATCTCACTTTGGACGGTAGAAAAGCCCTTCAGATTTCAAAGCGTTTAACCAAAGCTGTGGATTATTATAAGGCTACTGAGGAAGGCAAGGTGTCATGTAATGACAGATTGTGTATAGAGATATTGGAACAAGCTGAGAGAAGGGAACCTTTACATGGGGAGGCTTCTCTTTCTCTTGCTATGGCAGGGGATGATTTACGCATGAAATTGTTGTACCTAGAAAACAGAGGTATTTTTTTGCATTTTTAGTGAAATTATTGTGTCAGCATTTAGCATGTGTGCTTGACATACGTTACTCCCAAGTTTAAGATTACTAGTGTCTTAGGTATAACTGAAGAGAATTTCAGGTAGCACTGCTTAATTTTACTAATCCTTTTCCAGTTGAGCTGTTATCGAAGTTCAAGAAATCATTTTGACGAATTCATAGTCATAGGTTCAAACCACATAGCTACTATTGTCCAAGAAAAATAATTATGGAGTTCCGTGGGTGGGTTTGGAGCATACCTGGTCATATTTCTGTGATAAAAAATTTAGTAGACCTTTTCTTTTTCGGGTGCGATTAGTAGAAAATTATCTTAGAGTATTTGGATGTAATTAAATGAGATTATAAAAGTAACTTATGACCTTTTTTAAGTCTTTTTTATTATTTGTTTCAGCAAGTTTCATAGTCAAGTTTATAAAAAAGCTCATTCATGCATGATGAAAAAGTTAGAATGAACTAAAACTGATGATGATTCATTTTTTTTTTCAGTTGGATTGGCGAAAGTTCTGTTTCCTATGGAGGCAAAGGTTATTATGGATATTGCTCAAGTTGATGGCACATCTGAATTTCCATCAACAGACATTTACTGTCCATATATGCTTGATCACCAGAGGACAACTGTGGACTTAAATGATGCACCTTTCAGAATGAAGGAGGAGCATTTAGTTAGGTTAAGAGCACTGTCGAGAACTGGTAATTGATGTTTCTTATCAAATTCCCTTATTGATTACTTTCCTAGAGCTTTAAGGCTTAAAGTAATTCTTATATCAATAATAAAAGGGAGTTTAGTATATGTTTCACTTTCTTACAATGTTTCCACTTACTTTTTCTTGTCCTTACTGGAGATATAACTGACGGGTCAGTATGACTGCATGATTAGCTATCACTTATATTTGATAATCACATCCTCTGAGGACATGATCCTTTGAGCAATATATAATTGATGCACAGACACATTAAATGTTGAAACGTGTTCTTTGGTAGCACTTTTTTTATTACATTTAAAGGGTTTTGTTATTGAGTGTGTTTAGGGTAATAGTTAAAAAATAATAATAAAAAATTCTTATTGAGAATAATGTTGAGATTGCATTTGAAATGAAGCGTATTTGAAAATTTACTAAAATCACGTTTCTAACATATAAAAGTTATAACTTGTTGTAGCGATGTAACAGATTTACGTTCGAGTGAATTAATAACAGTTTTTTAATGTTGTAGCGGTGTATTAATAACAGTTTTTTAATAAAAACTTTTCAAATGTATTTCCTTAACTAAGTGGTTATCATTTATTGTATTCAAAACAATGTTTGAGAGAAGCATAATCAGTTAGGAAGCATGGTTGTGGGATGTGATGTCTGGTTTTTGTTGAGCAGTGGAGTTGGGAAAACGCTTCTTCCCACGTTGCTCAGAAGTGTTGAATAAGATAATGGATGCTGATGACCTATCTCAGCTTACATGTATGGGTGATGACAGTCCTGAAGATCGACTATGGAAGCGAAGAAGGTATGAGGAGCTCCAAGAGGTTCTCAATAAGGTCTTCAATGAGGACAAAGAGGAGTTTGATAGGTCTGCCATGTCATCATCATCCTCTTCCTCTTCAATAGGAGTGGTTAGACCCAATGGGCATGGCAAGCTAGCCATGAAGAATTAGATGAAAATAATGTATTCATAATTGTAATTTTTGTTTAACCATTTTCTTTTTCCTTCTTGCATTGTTGTATATATTTTTGGTATTTCATTTCATTTATCTGATAGCAACATTGTCTTCACTTCTTTCACTTGTTAAAAAAAAACAAATAAGTGTCTTCACATAATTTGTTAAAATAATTATTGTTGGCTCTATTAATAATCTTATCTACTCTCTTATGAACGGATAATTTAGGTTGTGAATATGACCAGAAGATCTTGGTCGTAGTCATAATAAGATTCTCAGATTAAGACTTTTTTAAGCTTTTGTTTGCCTTTTGAATGTCACAACCTTATCAAAAAAGGCTTGTAAAGGTGTCTTATTATCTCAACACACGGCAATAAAACCCCACCACACACACTTGAAAGTCCATATTGCTCATCTCAGAGAAAGTTAAAATACACGCACAAGTCTTAGAGCACAGCATGCAATATGTCAACTTTGTAGTGATAATTGAACTGCATGTCATCTTAATATATCATCATCCACCATTCTCTGGATGTAGTATCTTAGGCAAGAAAGCAAATTAAAAGCACTAGAATGAGTTCACATGTTCTAAAGTTAAGTTAAGTAAAATTAATTTATTAATTTTAAATTATTGAATGTAATTTAGATGAATTAATTAGCATAAAATTGTTTCACTGTAAAGTGTAAAAGAATATAACTATATTAAATACTTAAAAAAATTTAAGAAAATTAATCTTAACTATTCATTATAATATTTATTATTTTTTAAATGAAAAAAACTGTTTTAGAGATGAAAATCCTCTTTTTTTGATAATCTTATCAGATATAAAATATTATTACAATGCTGGGCTTCTGTTAACTATTTTATATTAAGCTTAAACAAATTGAAAACACAGAGTGGCCCACTTCATCTTTGTCGTTAGGTAGATAATTGATCTCTTAAATTTTACTTTTTCCTGTTTGGATTGTTGTGGTATCATGATGATGTTGCTGTCTGGTCTAACACAGTGTTTCATTTGCAAACAAGAAAAAGGTGGGAAAATTGTTTCATGTGTGAAACATCGAACAATGATTTTCCAAATAGACATTGCTAACAGAAATTGAATAAACACATTTCAATGACATGATTGGATAATTTCTCAATGTCTTTTCCATTATATATATAAAGAAACTCCTCTTCACATAAAGTGCCTCGGAATACGTGTAATTTCTATTTTTAGAGTGCCACAAACAGGGATCGTCCATGTTGTTCCTTTCAAATAATTCAGCCAATCCTCCACCGCTACACAACTGAGACAGGTGCCTTAGGCTTCACCATCAACATTTTAATCAAAGTAAATAAATTGAACTAATTAAAACTGGAAAAATTTTATCTTAAAATTTTATTAATAAATCTTTCTTATAATTTTTAATGCAGTTCTAAGTGTTTATTTAAGATTTTTTTATTAAATAATGCTCTTAATACATTAGTTAGTATGTGGTTGGGATTAAAATCATGACAATTACACCAATTATTTCATAAAATAAAAACATATTATTCGTACAAGGACTGAGTTCAAATACCGATTTTCTATATTTCTGTTATTTAGATCGACTAAGAGATTAAATTGATAACGAGATATTAAATTAAATGAATTTTAAAGTGTATATATTTTTTATAACAAATTAATGTTTGTATTTTTCTATTTTCAAATCAACAAATAAAAAAAAAACAAAGAGTGAAGTATGAAATATGAATTAAAGAACAGAATAACTTTTAATTGAAACAAAATAATAATGATAAATGATAGGATTAGCATTCTTTTAGCTCTCCTTTCAGGTGAATTAAAAGTCAAACTTCATTAATTCCTTACAAACAAAGAATTAAAAATATAATTTTGTTAACTTTAATTTTTAAAGTTAAAAATAAATAATTAATAATAGTAACATTTTATTAAAAAAATATTTATTATATTTTTATAACTTTAATACAATAATTATATTATTTTTTTATAAAAAATTTTATTTGTAAATACTTAAATTCAGACTGAGGTTAATAAACTCTTAAAAAAAATTAAAATTAAAAGTCACTTTTAGCTAGAATTCACTGTAAAGCTTAAAATACTTAAAAACTAACCACGAACATAAAACTAATTAAAACAAATAAATAAACACTTGTAAACTTTTTAAAACACGGTAAACTAACATAAAATACTCTTTTTAATATTTGTCAAAGGTAAATAATATTTGTCATAGATAAAATTGCATAATGCTAACATAATTGTGATAAATCAGTTAATTGTAAAGAATTAATTTTTAAGTTTAATTTAACACTGTTAGTGATAATTTTTTACTACTTAAATAAAAAAAATTTAACATATTTTCTAAAAGTTAAATCAGATCTCTCCTTTTTTTCTCTTCATCTTCATATTATTTTTAAAGTGAAACATTAATATTAAATATTTAGAGATTTAATATAAAAAATGATCAAATTAAACATATCTTTTCAAAAGATGAAAATAATAAAGATATTATATTATTTCTACTCTATTGTTCATTATCTTATCTCTTCTTCTTTTATTTATTTTCTCTCCATTTCACTCCTTATCTACACATAGCCTAAAGAAAGAAAGAAAATCACGAAATTATTCTTCAATCACAAGTATAAGACATTTTGGTCGTTAAATCGTGTTCATTTTCTTTTTAGTATATGATTAATCTCTAAGAAAATATGTACCAATTTATCCTTAAAGATATCATGTGTGAATTTGTGATTTAAATTGATCCCTTAAAATTATAAACGGAAACATGTGAAGGACAAAACTAACCCACATAACTGTTTTTAGTTTTTAAAAAGAGAGAAATTTAAAACCTTGTTTGAATGACTGTTTTTGTACTACTTATTTTGAAGTTTTAAAAACTAAAAAATAAAAAATCTAGAGATATTTTCAGATTTTGTTTTTCAATCCCTCTACACCCCCCTCCCAAAAAAAAAAAAAAAAGAAAAGAAAAAAGGCAGTGAAAAAATTGTTATTAGTGTCATTTTTGTAATAAATGAAACACAACAAAAGAACAACTTTTGAAACAAGTTTTTTTAAAAAAAAAAAAAAAAGTATTTCAAACAGACGAAAGTATTTATTCATTTCTGTATAAACAACGTAAGGAGTATTGTGACTATTACTACTGTTATTATTATTCTTGGGTAATACTAATAGCAACATACAAATTATTCACTGCATCATAAGAGATGCTAATTTGAATAGCCTTGGAATACACTGGCTCATTATCATTGTGTTGCAGCAGATCATCAATATAAACACTTACAACCTACAAATACACACACTGCACACTCTCACATAAAACAAAACTATCCAAGACAGATTTTTCAAAAACCAAAAAACAGACAAAGTTAAGAGAAATTTTACACTGTAAAGGTGTCAAAAGGATTCAGCTAGATTGCCTCACCTAATCGGCTGGTTTACTTATCAAATCCTCTAATTCAAAGTAGATATTTGAGCCCTTCACATCCACTTCTTCACCAACACCAGAACTCTCCCCCATTAGTTTGTCAGACATGACATCATAAGCATAGGACACATCATACCCAATAGGCCTTAACTCATGCACAGAGCTGCATGAAACATTTTCCAAGGGTCCATTTTGTTCAGATTGCAATGTATTCAATTGTTCACAACCTTGGTGTCCATAATCCACATCGGTGGTGTCCAATTTGGGTCTCTTAACCATGCCTGCCCCATCAAGCTCCCCTTTTTGCTTCACCTTGTGCATTAATTGCTCAACAAAAGCAGGCCTTTTGGTCATTCTGGTGAGGAAAACTAGCATCTGAAACTGCTTCAACTCTGCACATCGAACTCGCTCCTCAACACTGGCCAGTTGAACCTGTGAATCCTTATGCTTCTGCGTGAGCTTCAGAATCTCCACTTTTAACATTTTCTGATCCTTCTTGAGTTGTTCAACTTCATCCTCCAGTCCAAGCTTCATGGAGTCGAATGCTTTGTTACACTTGCTTCTCCTTCTGATATGCTTCAACAAATACTTCTTCCCTCCCTGAAACCCTTCATTTGCAAACTCCCAACGTTTTGAATCAACCTTCCTAAATCCCTGTGCCCATATAGCCGAATCAAATTCCAATAATAACCAAGATAAGCAGTAATATATTACCTCTAAAGTCCAAATCAATAACTTGGTCACAACTTGTGTCGTTTTGATCTCTAAAAATGAATACGTATATAAATTAAAAATTTGTTTTCAAAAGTATTAGTTTATTAACAAATTTATCCTGTTAAATTATCAATTTATAAATAATTCTCTATCTCTCATAGGATCAATTTATGCAAATAGATAGATACATAAATTTAACTAATTCAAAGTAAGAATGTACATATATAAAGTAAAGAATAAAATTATGTCTATTGTTAATTTTGAATTAAATTTTATAAAATCATTTAATTTCGTTTATTTCAAATTTATAAATGTATTTTCACTTTATCATTCTATATAATTTTTCATTTTAAATGAATCAAATCCTAAAATTATTTTGGAGAATAAACTGACACAAGTTATCACTATGAGACATCAAATTGGATACTCAAAATTTCCCGCACAATGCGACAAAGTGCAGGATAGGTATTATTGTTTTCTCTCTCAAAAAACTTGATAAGAGTATTTTAAATAATTTTTATTTTGTGTAATATTATACAAATTAAGAAACTGTATTAAAAATATAGAAGAAGCATATTATCACATTTTTAAATAAAGAAGTTTATTTTTAACTTTTTAACGAGTAAATTAATTTACTAACAATAACAAAAAGATAGATTGAAAGGCACACTAAGGTCTGGAGCATTTTGCTAAGAACAGTGAATATTCAATAACGAATGAACTCAACTATTGAATTTAACATTTAAAAATAATACATATGTATTATAACTAAACATATGTATCATATAAAAACAATAATTTGTCTTTCTGTATAGTAAATGTTATTATTAATAATGATTAAAATTCAATCCTAATATCTAAGTCTAACGTTTTTCAGAAATGAATAGAAGAAAGTTGTGTGGCGAAGAAAATTGGGGAATGGAAGAACTGACGTAGGTGTTAAGCTGGCGAATGAAGCTTGAGAAATTGGTGTGCTTGAAATACTTTGGAAGAAGGGTTTTGGAGAATTTCTGAGAATCCCAAACCACGAAACTGTAACGTCCTTCCCCCCATGACACAATCGGGTCGGTATTCGGATCCTCCACCATGTCAAACGTCTTTTTCAGGAACGCTGCTGGCCCCACCACAATCCCTTTCGGGGACTCAACCAAAACGTCGTCGTTCTCACAACCAGCGTTGTCTACTTCCTCTGCTTTCGCTTTACCTTCTTCTTCCATTATTGGTGGAGCCTTACCGTGAGGAACCACCATTTTCTGAATCGATTCGCTCTGTTTTTCCTTCTTTATTCGTTCACTCTCTATAGATAATGAAACTGTGAGCCGGTTAGAATGTAATGATGAGCTTCTTGATATTTATAGATTTTTATTTTTGGACATCGTGATATTTATGATTTATTATAATATCTTATAATATTAATAAAAAAATATTCATATTATATAAACCCTTAAAAATGAAAAACAAAGGTCCAATAATATAATGCCCAAGTAGCACCAATCAAGCCTTATCAAATTTTTTTTACTTCATTTAATGGGATAAAGTTTTATTTTTATCATTATAATATTATTTTAAATTTTATTTTTATTATTGTAACCGAGTGAAAATTATATTGCAAACAGTGAAACTTGAATATCACTTGGATATCACATTTAAGTAATCCGGAGGTGGAAACACATATTTGAAGCTACTTAAACTCACACAATTGCTATATTAAAAATCAGGTCTGCTGTGGACAAGGAATATATGTGCTATAGATTAATGGCATAGTAGGTATCCAATGTTACATACTACTCTCAAGATAGCACAATATATAACTAGTGAAACATTGGCTCTCAATTTCAAATTGCCACCATTACAATGCAAATTACTCAACAATTAATGCCACACCGGGTTATCAGCTTGTTTCATTGATCACCACTGAGTGCAATAGCTAACCAGTTGGATACTGATGATTGAATTTCAATCTGTCCATTTGCATACAATGACAAAGGGGTAACTGTAACCTGTCATGCCCAAAGGAAACATATAGCACCAAATTAGCCTATTAATATAGGATGATTAGGTCCCTCAAATGTACCCAAAAAAAGTATAGGATAGGTAGAAAGAGAAAACACAAAATTGTCACTCACAAATCCTTCTTCAAGTGCTGTGGAGTCTAAATCCTCTTCTATGTTCTGCTGCATTTTCTCTGTTAACTGCAAATGTGAATTTAGGCAATGCTCATTTAGGGTGTCTCCAAAATGAATGCAATTTGTTGCCACACAAGAGAAAATGAAAAGAAGTATCAGTATGAGATTTTCAAACATGTAATTTTATTTATTAGAAGAGAACCATGTTTGCTTGCTTTGCAAGTCATATCAATGGTACCTCCATACGGAAGTATTTCTTCACGGTTTGTTGAGAATTGAGCTTTCCAGAAACACCAACAGATTCAATCTCCACATTCTTACGATTCGAGTTTATTCGACGCGCTGCTGCCTAAGAGATTTTACACAAGCAAGATCCATTAGAAAGTGAGAGGCTGAAAGAATGTTCCTATAAAGAAGGCAACTAGCTGTTGAAACCTGAATGCATTAATTTATGGTGATTGGATAAGAATGTCTTACAGCAGCAGAGGCATCTCTTCCTAGTTGTGCTAACATGATTCCAAGACTTTGCTGGTTAGACATGTAATGGCCTGCTGAAGGATTCCTATTTGCTGACACAGCTTGCCAACTTAAAGAAGACCTTTGTGGACTTTGCCTAGTCACTTTGACACCCTATTCACAAAATATAGACCATAAGAACAACCACCTTAATTGTTAATTTGTTTCTGGAAAATTAATTTATGATGTATTATATCATGGGATTATACACAAATTAATGGACAGAAAAAATATCCCATATAGACACGGAGCTAATTTTTCTAACAGGAACTTCTAACTCAGCAATCTATTTCTTGGCAAACTAAAATGAGTTGATGGAAATATGAAATATAAAATAGGAAAGTAAACCTTGTTTCTCAGTGGACTACTTGGGATCCCTATATTTAGGAAGCAATTCTTGGGAAAAATCCCTTTCTGTATATCTCTTATAGCTGCATGAATTAATGGTAAACATGCTGTTACTGCATCCTTCAAATCAATTTCACAGCTCACATTCATTTCCCTGCAAGACATTTACATTAACATAGTTCATGTGATCATTGGAAGGACAAAAGCAGAACAGAAAATTAAATATGCATAACATTTAAGTACCAATTCAATGATATACAAAGAGATGGCACACCACAAATCAGTGCCTCTCTAGCCCCAGCAACTGCCCCAGAGTACAACCTACATCATTAAAAACATCAAAATAAGAGCCCGAGTTTCTAAGCTAAAAGATATAGTTTATCTGTAAAACCGAGTTGGTTCATTTTCCAAATTTGATCGTATGATACAAATATAATGACGAGCACATCACAAACTTACGTGTTATAACCACAAGTTGCTCCTTTGTTTAGTCCACTAATTACCTGGTTAGAGTCATGCAATTAAAATGAGAGTTGAAGGAGGCAATAGATTTCATGCATAACATCAGTACCTACCAAAATAGGTTTTGACCAAGAAAACAATGCCCCAGATAAAGCCAAAGACACACAATCTGCTGGGGTTCCTGTAAAAAATAAAATAAAATAAAACTCCTGCTTCCTAAATTACGTTTTCACCCAAAGTCCATTAAAAATTCTCAAAATCATAAAAATCCTATAATAATTATAATAATACGTCCGTTCCTATTCATCCATTTAGAGAAAAAAATAATTACACAAGACTAAACAATTTAATCATTTTGTCGAAATTATTAGACGAAGTTTCTAATTTATACTTTATTAGTAAATATCTTTTTGACCTTTAGATTAATCAAGTAGTATAAATACTTTATTTATTATACTTAAAATTTTAATATAAACAAATAAATAACTACAAATTTTTTTCTTCTTGAACGGATAAACAGAAACAAAGTATAATTACATAATAATGCACGATTCTCATAAGTGAGAATCATAATTCTCACACCGATAAACCAAAGTGTGTGAAACTACCTGACACTTGATAAGCATTGGCACCACCAACTTCTGCTGAACACACAGCTAGCGTCTCCTTAGTGGTAACTGAGTGACCACACACCGATCTATCCCTGAATCAGCCAAAAAACCATTGTCCGACACCATGTCATGTCACGACCATTAAAAAAACCCCATTTAAAGTTTTACATGATCTACAAATTGGAAAATTCACGAAAAATCACGTTTTGAGAAAGTGGGGTGGGGAAAACATACGATTCTGGGGCGCAGACATAGACATCAAGAAGGGCATTACGAAGGAGTGCTTCAACGAGGAAAGTGAGGCCAAGAGAGTCTATGCCTTCTCCATTGGTGACTAGTACCACGGGCTTTGAAGAAGCTCTGAGAGGTTCGTGGGTTCTGTTCTGGTGCTGCTCCTGCACACTGTCCTTCCTGCGGACGAGTGCTTGTTGAAGATTTGAGACCAATGCTGGGTTGATGAAGTTGTTCTTCACCGATGTTGCCATTTTGAGACAGAAATCTTAGTACAATCGTAAAGTGAGAAAGAGACAGTGGTTGTAATTGTACTCTTGCCAGTGGCAGATTCAAATTATGTGCTGTTGGAAACTTGCATTTATAAAGGGTGCTGTCCTCTTTTACTATAGCGCTTGATTTTAGGACTTTTTTTTAATTAATATTTTGTTGAGAAATAATGCTTTTTATTTTATAAAATTAAAATAAATTGAAGTAAACATCTATTTATTAATATACGTCGATTAATTAATAGGAATTCTTCTATCTTAACTTATAATTTTGAATTTAAATTTCAGTAAAAATAATTATTTTAAATATTCAGAAGAAAATATTTTTCATCTAATTATAATAGTTGTGATTAAAAAAAATATTTATTAACAGGTTTTGTTAAAGAAAATATTCAAAGAGATTTTATTTTAAAAAAATATGATAAAATTATATTAATGATATTTTAATAAAGTTAATTTTCTTTTATCAATACCTTAATTAACATTTATTATTATTATCAAAATTTGTATCCCTTCAATTATTTATTCAACTCGACTTGGAGCGGTTTAATCAAACAAATGCACTCATGTAATAATACCCCTCTTTTACATACTATGTTTATAAATTATGTAACCATGAGTGTATAATCTGAATTATAAATAAAATATTATAATGAGATTAAAGTACTATTTGATCATTATGTGAGGAGTGGTTGAACGTTTACTCAGGCAACTATCGTTACTCTATTTGTAATTACAAGTACCCCACATTCATCTACTTCACATGTCTTGCTTTCACCATTGTCACAGTCACAACGCTGCTTCTTTCTCTCTGTTATTTAAGCAGTGTCAGATTTTTAATTTGCATCTCTTTTGCATTACTTGTCAACTGTAGTCATAGATTCATAAGTTGCGCCAAGGAAAAAGATAGTGCGCCAAAAGGGACTATCGTTATTATTACTTTTAATTAAAGGGTCTTGCTAACTAAAAGCATTGCTTAATTTTTTTTAATATATTAAAAAATTACAGTAAATATGTATTTGTTGCATTTTTCTTTATTTAATTCATAGTTGTTGATAAATTAGTGATCAGTCATACGTGACACCAAAACAAAATTATATCTTTCTTTAAATGTTAGGTATATATTGCCTTGCAATTTTAACTAATCATGACATTATCAGTTAGATAAACTGTGTCGGCACATATGCATCTTAACTAAAACATATAATTAGTCTTGATTTTATTGACTGTTGCATTTGAAATTAAGAGTCTCTCCAACTCTATCGAGCAATGTTATTAAATTCAACCAGTGCTATTGAATTATACATAGTTAGATAGATGTAAAATAAAAAAAAACCAAAAATTGTAAATTTATCCTATAATGATTGATGTCAACCAAGAGAAGAAAATGAGGGAATAAATCCATTCTATGCTGTGGTAATGGCCTAGTTCTATTGTGGATTACAGTGAAATGCTGAATGTGGACTTGTAAAATCACATTTGTGGAAGAAATTTGAATCTATTATTCTCTTGGGAAAAATAATAATGACATGGGCTCAGAACAGACTGTGTAACATGATCAGAACGCTGCATGATTATGCTTTTGGTGGAGGCAACAGGGAACCGGGGAAATCTCAGAAGAAGAAATAATCTGTGTTTAAAAATAAAATTTACACGTGAAAAATTTGTATCAGATTTTCATTTTAGTTATTTGAAAAATTAGAATATAGAGTGCGTGTTATAGTATATACTTTTGATCTTATTATTAAAAAAGTGACAGAAGAATTTATTTGATTTTCTTTTATCGATTGTGTGGGTTATAAATTATATATACACAGACAGAGATAGATAAAAAAAAATAGATAGGAAATTAATTTCGACCCACCATGGCATAGTATCCAATAATGAACCTTCTCTGACATGACTGCTGATTGGGTCCTTTATCCATCGAAGCATATTCTACGTGTTCTTTTTATACGAGTTGGAGTAGCATAGATTGCTGCGAAATCTCAGGATCAATTATTTTTGTGGTGTAAAAGCATATGTATAATGGTGAAAAGTAACGTCACGTGCAGTAATAATATGTATCTCCATAGCTGTAATGAGAAATTCAATGTCTTTGGGCAAGGTTAGAAAACGCCCAACCACCAATACCCATTTAATATTTCTTGCAATTTATGTTCATGTCAAATTATTCTCCCACGCAAATATATACTACGTCAAAATAGTTTATTCTGTGTAAAAAGAAATTCTAATAATAACTTTTTTAAATATTTGTTTTTATTTGAAAATAGTCATTCCCTTGGATGCCCTTAAACTTTCTCCATCAAGACATCGATTTGATTCACAAGAGAACAATTATTCAAAATGTTGAACCGTGCAAGCAAATCATTTCAAATGCTTTATTTGAATCTTGAAAGCAAAAGGTTTTCAGCTAACAATGGAAAAGGCTCATGAGAAACAATAACAACATATTCTTTACTACATTGTAATATTTTTTTTTTATTATTAAAAAATTACAAAAATTATAAAAGTCTTACTCTTTCTTACTTTTAAATTAATATTTCTTTCTCATATTTTTTAATTTTTAATAAATTTTAACTAATAATTAAATAGTACATTAAAGAATGAATGTGTTACTAATGTTTCTTTTTCCACTAAAGCATGACTTTATACTTAAATTCAAATAAACAAGTGTCTATGCCCATTCCCACGCTCTTTTCTCTTTCGATTTAAACGATTTCCACAATGAAATACTTTTAATAGAAATGAAACACAAAGTTTAACAAGATATATTTTTTAAAATATATATCCAAAAGCTCTTTTAGTTTTTCTTGTTTACTTTAATAATTTTCGGCAACAAGTATTCCGTAGAATATACGCTACATTCATGCACTGGATCAGCAAACAAAATGTCTTGCATGCTCAGATGCAAAGCAATGCAGAGGCACAACCTCAACTATAGATACGTAATCATATATTAATTTGTTATCTGGGTAAAAGACAACCTAAGCTTAGGTTCTTGTCAGATCTTCATCTGATCCATATGTCTATGTATCCAGTATGATATAAATTTAAAAAGATTAGCAGACCGAAGTGATATTGCATTACGCATGCAAGTAATGTAAAAATCATTAATGTAAAAGTGTACAAAGTAATGTGGAAAACCTCTGCCCATGACAATGCAAGAGAAATATTATGCAAGTGATGACCGACAATTAGAGTCGACAAATTCAATTACTCAACTAATGGCAACAAGCTTTAATAAATTATGTTAAAGTGTTTAAATTTAATTTAAGTTAATAAAATAATGGTAAAACTTCACAAAAAATTATTTTTAAACATTTTTCAGGTTAAGTTCACATCAAGTTCAATTGAATTGAATTAAAAAGATTCAAATTTAATATGAACTCAAAATTTAATGATCCAATACATTTTAGAGATCGTTAAGCTATCTTCTCTTTATCTCCAACTTTTTTTTCAAGATTAATTTCTTTCTTCCAAAGAGTAAACCAACTAATTTTCCTACGAAATTCTTTGGGTAGGAGCATAAAAAGATCGGGTAAATCTAAATAAGCTATATATATATATATATATACACACACACTGCTGCCTATTCAAAGATGAATGAAAGGAAAAATCAGTGCTCTTACTAACAAGATACATTGCAGCCTGCCATAACCCCCAGTCACTTTGGAAAGGACAATTCAAAAAAGAAACCACTTTGAACACAAACGTAGCATTCACAGCACTTGAAATTCTAACGAAACATTTTAAAAGCTTACTTACCATTATAGTTTTAGTTTACAACTTGAAATTTTTGTTCAAAACCGTTCCGAGGGCTATTATTTGACTCACAATTACAATTATGCATTTAAAATGCTCAGTTTTTTTTTTAACGTGTACTTAATATAAAAAGAAGAAATCAATAAATAATAATTTTTTAAAACATTTATATTATTGAATATTATTAATGCATTACATCCTGTAATTTTTAATAAAAACTAATTATATTAAGATATTTCTAATGTGTAGCACGTTAGAAAAAACGCAAAAAGTTCCCTGTTGGAAGTTTCCTTGACTTTATAACCAAGCAAGCCAGGTGATCAATTATCATGGAGATTGAAGTGAGTGCAGTACCCTGGACCAGTAAGTGGGTGTGAGTGGGTACGCCTAATAGTGTAGTATGTGGGAGACATGTTACCAACATGGTTCATTATGAAATGTTTTAAAAGTTTAATCAGGACTTGCTGGCTTATAACAAATCATAGTTTACAACTCGAAATCACTCCCTTTTGGAACATCTTCCGAAACTACTTTTGGAAATGTGAACTGTTATTTCTGATAACCTTATTCCAATCTGATCATACAGTGAAAGCACCATCGGAGCATTCTATCTTAACACGCTCTGCTGCAAATACTGAAGTAACAATGCGTTTTGGGGTGAAATAGATGCAATATTTAACCTGATGGCAAGAACCACTAATGTTGGAGGTTATAATTTAACGATTTTTTTAATATGTGCTCAAAAAATGATAATAAGAAATCAATAAATAATAATTTTTTATTAAAAATTACAACATTTAATAACATCAATATACATTAGATCTTGTGACATCCATAATAAGTTTTTATTGTTCACTCAATCCATTCCATTGATATTTCATAAGTTTTGTAACCACCTTTGCCTACAGGTAAAAATACACAACAAAATGGGAAAACGAGAAGAACAGATGAAGTCTGAAAAATATCAGACGCCTTTATTACTACTTGAACTGATTTACCATAAGCGTTTGTTCCCAAAGGAGAGGAAGCTACATCATAAAATCAATAGTAGAATAATCTGTTGAAGCTCTGCGGCTGGACAATTCAAAATCCCTACTACTGCGATGAATTGGATTTTCTCTAAACCTTAGTTGAGTATAGAGCAACCTTAAGGATACTTCACATACTCTCCTGTCATCATCCATATTCAGAGATGAACTTGCCTGCTCAGGCAAACCAAATCGCATGGGTGAGGCAACTTAGGAACATTTCCAATTTGATGTATATACCCCGTAATTTAGTACTGAACCTATAACCCCAAGATGCGTATACACTCCTCCTAGTTCATAAACCAAAATAATCCCACCCTATACTAAGGCAGTTCGAGTATCAACATGCTTGAAAATGTAATTTCTTATGAATCCAACGCATTAAATTAATTTGAATCAAGATTGCATCAACAAGAATTTGTAAGAATGACCAATTCACACAAGGTTACATGAGAATTCCAAATCAATACCACTGCCCAATGAATTACTTGTACTGGTAAAACCAAAAGTGCATTAACATAAAAACCAAAAGAATGCATAACATATGCCGATTCTTAAGATTGACATGGAACCATAATCAACAGATCAAGTCATAGTAGCCGTAAAAGTACTGTTACTGCTAATGGCATTCATTCATCAACAAAGGTTACAACCTTTGTCACATGAGGTAATATATATTTAATAGGGGTTCACAATGGGGTCGTGTATTACCTTAGAGGATTAAAGCAAAATCATGACCCACTCTTCTACAAAAAACAAAAAAATAATGGAATTTAACGGCCTAAAAACTTGATGAGAGCCGAGCCCTTGGTTTAGATGATACACCTATAATGCCGCAAAAGAACCCATCTTCTCCAAACATACCATGGTTATTCTATTCACTTGATCAGTAAAGTCAACTGGGAACATCATAGATTTTAAAGATATATCTAGAATAAAAAGTTCAACAAAACAAGGAGAAAAAAAAAAAACATCCAAAAATTAAAAAACATTACTTTAAGGGTTTCCAGGAGTGTCATGCTCATGATCCTTGCTACTGGCACTGGCTGGCTTCTCTTGATTCAGAACACATCCAGTTAAAGCATCTACCGGACGCATATCACGCGGTCCACCTTTTAGCCCCATTGCCACCATTGGTGGTGGAGGCAACAAACCAGCCCGGAATAGAAGACGCTCCACTGGCTCTGAAGGCTGAGCTCCAACAGAAAGCCAATACCTAAAGAATAAAAATGCATATCAATAATACTATAAGCTTTAAGAAAACACCACAAGAGATTTCTGTCTCATTAATTTCACAAAGGATTGATACATATAACATAATCAACCAACCAGCAACAAACACTTCTAATTTCTTCATAGAAACAACTAACTCATATAAGTTAATTCTAATCTCAAAATTACACAATAAATAAATAAATAAATTGTATAATAAAAATAAATGCTTGGAATATACAATGGTGAGGGAATTCCCGAAATTGGGACTTACTTGACTCTATCGAAGTTGAGACCCATTCTTTTGCCACCATCTTGACCTGAGAAGAATGAAAGGAGTGAGTGAGGAATAGCATGAATATGAAGAAAAAGGGAAAGAAGAAAAAGGTGAAAACCTGGTAAGGGATTGTAGTAACCGAGAACTTCGAGGTGCTTGCCATCTCTGGGGGATCTGCTATCAGCAGCCATGACACGATAGAATGGCTTGTTCTTGCATCCGAACCGCGATAGACGAATCCTTACCACCATTTTCCGATTCTACTTCTTCCAAACGCAGTTGCAGACGGAACCCCGCTCTTCGCTTCCAATCGCGGTGCCAACAAGGGTTCTGGGGGGGCTTATAGCCAAACGACGCTTTGTTTATGCGTCTGTGTCGTTTCTTTACGAGCCTTTGCGCTGTACGACGGGTTGGGCTCAGAGTGTTGGTCAGTTTGCAAAAACCCGGCTCAAAACGACTGGAGAAATAAAAAGGTTTTTTTTTTTTCTCCTTCGTCTAATTATCGTCATCATATCATATAAATAAATAAATAACAAGAACCAAGATATATCTGAGAATAAATATTTTCCCTTTTTTTTACCAATTTTTTGTGTGTAATTGGAACTAAAATAAACTAATTATTGTGAATACTATGTTTGTATGTGTGTGTGACATCTTATTTATAATAGTAAAGACACAATATGTTAAGTGACTTAAACCAGAAGTATAAGTTTAGGTACAGCAATTTATGCTAAAAATAAGTTGGCAAGTTTGAACTCTTGTATGTATGTGGTTGTGTCTCACACATACAAATAATTAAGGACTTAGAAAGACAGTATTAGGGATTTTTTTTTTTAAAGGGAACACAAAACAAGAATATTCAATGGATCGATAATACTGTTAACCTTTAAGACTTTAATTATAATCATGAAATAATAATAAGTGAGGATAAGAGTTACAAAAAGAATTAAACTTGAAGGGAAGTCTATTACTAGTGAAAGAGTGAAATTTCATGGGCCAGGCCCAACAAGAAAATTGTCCATGGTTTATGGGAATTAATTGTCCAGAGACATGATGGTGGTGGCAATGGAAATTGAAAATGGAGGGAAATTAAACCCTAAAACCCCAGCAAATGGGTTCATGCAATGCACCCAACATGAAATAAATAAATAAAGATTGGAAAAAAAGACATTCCAGTTCAGGTCATTCACTGACACTGCACACTTCATTTTTGTGAACATAAGTAAACACTATTATTCCTCTTTTGTTTGGTGTTTCCATTCAATGGCGAGGCTGCTTCGCAACGCTCACACTTCCCTCCTCAAGCGTTCCCTCTTCAACTCCGACCTATTTACGGTGATGCATTACTTACTTTTCAAAGAACCTTCTTTTATTTATTTTAGCTTTTTAAATTTTTGCTTGAACAGTGACTGATTCTTTTACCCTTTTGCTTGCAGCGGTTGTGCTTTGAACCAGGAGTACTGGGCGCGTCTAAAGTTTTGAGCTTTTCAACTCATAAAGGTTTCTGGAAACTATCTGAACCTCGCCATTTTATTGTGCACTAATCAGCGTTAAAAACAAGTACTCTGTGTTGCTGAACGCGCTGTGGTTTAAATGCATAAAAATTGTATTTATCGTGAATATAATTTCTATGTGTGTAAACATTGTGACATAGGGACTCTGTTGGAATCACTAATGCGTATTTATTAAGCTGTGTTCACTCTAGAATTAGATAGATAGTTGTTGCTGTGAACCAAACAGGAATTTGAATTTCTGCCCTTTTTTCCTGCTAGGTATATATATATATATATTTGAATTTGGGTTTTTCTTAGAATTTGTGCTGATTTTAAGTTTGTGACATTTTTCATTTTTGTACATATGAAGGTAAAAGGCGTTCTAAATCAGATGGAAGTGACTCTGGTGAAGAAAACATGTCTAAGAAAGATTTGGCCCTACAACAAGCTATTGATCAGATCACTTCTGCATATGGAAAGGGATCTATCATGTGGCTTGGTCGTTCTGTATCCCCTAAAAATGTACCTGTTGTGTCGACTGGTTCTTTTGCTCTTGATATAGCACTGGGAGTTGGCGGTCTTCCAAAGGTATCCTTGTATCTTTTTCTTATGTTGTACCTGAACCAATGTTGAACTCTCTTTTTAATATATTGAATGTGTGCCCTTGCTTATGCAGTGGCCTTTTCCACTTTTTGTTGGGCTCAATTTTTTAATTTTCCCTCCACATTTCTTTTATGTATTTCCTTTTAAAAAGTATTTGCCAATATGCCAATTATGATCACACAATTATATATGATCTTTTGGAAAAATCAGTGTCAATTTCAGTTTATATGGCCAATGTCACTTGCTAAGACTCTTTGTTGATTGCTTGGGCTTTGATAAATTACTCTGCAACAGCTATATGGTGATTATTATATGTAAATTGTAATTGTGATGTCTGTCTGTAGGGTCGTGTTGTGGAAATATTTGGTCCAGAGGCTTCTGGGAAAACAACTCTTGCTTTGCATGTGATTTCGGAGGCACAGAAGCTAGGAGGTTATCTTTATTTGAAATGTCTATTGCTTTTAGTTTTATTAGGTATACAGTCATAATTTTAACTTCAGTCTTTTGCTAATATGAATAGTATTGTAGTGATCATTTGTCATGCAGTCACAGTTGTTCTAATTCTTTTCCCAGTCTCTTTTGTGTGGCTGAGGTATTACTTTGGATGAATACTTTTTTATTTTTAATTTATGACTTTTTAGTGAATGTCTAAATCAGATTCTGAAACACTCTTGTGACTAATATTGTTTGGAAGTGGAAATTTGGTGTTTTAATTCATGCAAGGGTTCTCTTTTTGTCAATCAGCGCTTCAATACTGAGTCAATTTTGATAAACCTTTCAACAAGCACTCGTAGGAGAAAAAAAAATGAATTGAGCTTTTTGCATAAGTTAAAATAAAAATGTGCATCTAAACTGTTTCAGAAGCTCCCTTGTTTAACTTATTCATAAGAACCAATAAACTCAAGAGGGCTTGTCCTTCTTTCCTTTGAAAAAGTCTACAGTAGGATTTTGCAATTGAAAAACTCTCATAAGTTGGAAGCTAATCCATATTGGGCTTGTACCTACAATTTGTAGGTGCATGCAGATTCTTAATTGTATGAACATTGTTGTATTCTAACCTTCCCACTTGTCATTTTTTTTTAAATAGAAAGAAGATGATTTTGTAGAATTTGAATTTTACAGAAAAGTTATTTTTGGTGTCTCATGTTAAATTTGGGCTTATGTTCCCATAAGTTTAATGATGATGACAAGAAAGCCTGTATGCATTTGGTACTGCTTAACTTGGTAAGAGTTTGTCTGCTAATTAATTTGCTTGTATCATGCAGGTTATTGTGCCTTTGTTGATGCTGAGCATGCACTTGATAAGACACTTGCAGAGTCAATTGGTGTAAATACTCAGAACTTACTTCTCTCACAACCCGATTGTGGTGAACAAGCACTTAGCCTTGTGGATACCTTAATCCGGAGTGGTTCAGTTGATATAATTGTTGTTGACAGTGTATGTATGGAACTCTGCATCTTTTGTTTTTTTTAATACTTCCTATCTGTCAGTCTATGCATGTGTGTGAGATTGTTTGTTTATTGCGTCTCCATGGGGCAATGGTGTGAAAGCATTAAGATGCCCTATAAAATGCCTTAAATTACTTTAAAAAGTATTATATGGTTTTTGTGTTTTGATATAATAAATACTATTTTTTCCAATAAAAAAATATCTTTTAACTTCTTGTTGTCCATGGGCACACAAGAAAAAGAGTGTGCGAGGGGGATTAATTTTGGCTATACCAACAGAACCTTTAGTGGGTGATCAATTATATCTAATCTTAACTATCAATTATAATTGTATGGTCAAAGTTTACTTCTTGTAATACTCACTTGACATGCTTCCTGAATATATGTATAGTATAGGATTTTGAAAGTTGACTCAATCCAATGTAGGCTTTAAGCTTGAATGACCTATTTGTCTAAAATACATTAACCAATTTAGAGTCAAGCTCCTTTTGCTTATATATTCTTTGATTTGTTACTAACTCACCGATGTGGGACTTTATTATCTTAATAATATGTTCACGAGTATGTATGTATATAATGAAATAATCCTAATCTAAGTTTTGCACTTGGAGATCTTTGCTCCTGCCTGTATTGTACAGCAAATAATGTGTTTCATTGCAAGTACTTGGGAGCCTGAAATATGTGATGTGGATACTGTACTGTTCTGGAAATGACACTTCTTTAGCATAGTCACAGCCTAATTTTAGAAGCTCCTAAAATTGTTTCCCATTTTTTTTTTTACCTTTTTAACTTTGAAAATAGTTTAGATCATGTCATTGATAACTTGTTCAATGGGTTAATGTTCTTGTAAGTTTTGAGCTAATATCTTCAACTCTTTGCTGTGTATATATTTATAGGTGGCTGCTCTTGTTCCTAAAGGAGAGCTTGATGGTGAGATGGGTGATGCTCACATGGCAATGCAGGCTAGGTTGATGAGCCAGGCGCTACGGAAATTATGCCACTCCTTATCACTTTCACAGTGTATATTGATTTTTATAAACCAGGTATAGGTTACAGCTGCATACTGTCATCAATTTTCCCATGGCCAAATTGTGAATATGATTTTATTTATACTGAGCAATTTAGCCACACAAATATCTTGGTCTTTGTCCATTTTTTCTGGACTTTCTGAACCAAAGTGGCTCACTTTCTATTTAGTGGTTGAGGTTGGGCTTGGTTAGTGTCTGACAGCCAATGTGCTTTGAGGCTCATTATTATGAGTTTGCTGTTGCAATTCGTATGTTTTTATAACTTTTACTAGATTGTAATGTTGAAATTAAACTTGTGTTCCCTTTCTAAGGTCGCTCTGCAACTGTTCTGTCTTATTTAATGTCATAACTTACCTACATTTTTACCCTCTTTCTCTTTTACCCAACTTAAATTGCATGCATGCAAAATGTAGGGCATGCTTTTATATGTAAAAAGTGTTGACATTAGAGGTTAGAAGCTTAACACGTAAATTAGTGGACTGAAACGCTGGACAATGACGACATACAACATGCATATAGCATCCTAGAAGATCCACTTATTCAGATACAACTGATTGAATCCTCTTAGCAAATTTATTTTATGGATATTATGGAATTAGTTTCATAGCAGGTGTTACTATCAAGCCCCGCAAATTCAAATAAGATGGAATGTAATGATGATGCAGTTTTACTTTCCTGATTTTTGAAATTAATTGAATCTGATGCTGATCTATTTGCGCTGATGATTCTTGTGCCATTTGCCATTTGATAGTCAATCAAATTTGTGAATTTGTAGAGTTGAGATTGCTCTGCCAGGCCAACATGATTGTGCTTGATTAAGATAGTTGTTTAATTCCACGAAACGTTCTTGACATGCATTAATTATATTTTACTGTGGTTTATATATCATGTAAGATATGTATCTTTTCTTTTTGGTATAAGTAATTTTGTTGAAATTACCTGAGGGAAATGCTTATCTTTTAATTATGGGAACTCTTGTGTATGCTTATCCAGGTGAGGTCAAAGATTTCTACTTTTGGGGGATTTGGTGGGCCCACTGAAGTTACTTGTGGTGGTAATGCGCTGAAGTTCTATGCTTCTGTGCGGCTAAATATCAAAAGAGTAGGGTTTGTCAAGAAGGGTGAAGAGGTACAGATCATCTATTAAGTCTTCTCTAATTTGTTGTGTCCTGCAGTAGTATTGCCATGCCTGTTCAAATAGATGGTTCAAATAAGCTTGAAGAGTAAATATGTGAACTCTTCTCTTCTCTTCCCAATGTATTGTACCTTTATATGTACTTTGACCGTCTGTTTGGTCCCAGCTTCCAATTGACGGATCTTTGTTAGGATCCTAGCAAAACAGTTTACTAATTTGTTTGTTGGATGCAAGATTGTTCTAATGCTGACCCCTCAAACTAGTGCCCTTCACTAACTATCTTGGATAGGCTCTTTTCTCTTATGCTGATTTTTTGTATATGATCTCTGCTTGTGCAATATTTCGTAGTGGTGGGTCTTAATATTGCGTTGAATGCATTAAGGTCTAATTTATAGTACAAATAATTATTCCTTATCGCATTTTATTGTGCAGACTTTAGGAAGCCAGGTTCTTGTCAAGGTTGTGAAGAACAAGCATGCTCCTCCATTTAAAACTGTACAGTTTGAGCTTCTGTTTGGCAAGGGCATTAGTAGAGAAGGAGAGATCATTGAGTTGAGCATAAAATACAAACTCATAAAAAAGAATGGTTCATTTTATGAATATAATGGCCAGAATTTCCATGGTAAGGATGCTCTAAAGAAGTTCTTGGCCGAGGGTGATGGTGCACAGGTATTAACAACAAAGCTAAGGGAAAAGATTCTTAATGCCGAGCCAGAACTGGCACCAGAGGCACAGTTGATGGTTGGAGATGTTACAGAAGAAACGGTATCGCTTGATTCTACTGATGAAGAAGCAGCTGCTGCTGTATAAGCATGAATTTGCAAATGGCTTTAAAAATGTGGTGTGCTCTAATTTCCCCACTTCAAAAATGGACCCTACGCAAACGGGCCTACACGAATGAAAATGGTTCTAAATGCAATGGATGCCTCATGCTTCTAGTTTGGAATGAAACCCTTGGGTTCACATGGCACATTGCATTTGTAAATTGGAAATTTTGGTCATTTTATGCGGGCAACGAGTCATGTGACATGTCTAAGTTTTGTGACTGCAGGCAAAGACTATCTGATTAGGAATCAAGAGCCAAGGCTAGTCAATTATTAAGTCATCGCTGATTGTTTGTAAGGATATAATTTTCAATTTATGTAATGATCTTAGTGCATATGCATCTCTCTCAGATCTCTGGTGCCCTTGCTTCTCTTATTACCCCTCTCCTCCCTTGTTTATCGGAACTTTAATTTAAAACATGAGTCAAATGAAAAATTAAAATATTTCAAAACTAATAAATTTCAAATAACTTAAGTCAAATATTATCTTATCAAATAAATAATCATTTATTCAAGTAGCTTGTTAATATAAGTACAACTTTTATTGGGTGTTGGCATGATGAATTGGCGTGTTTAGTTTTTTGTTAGAAATTATCAAATCATGATTGAGTAAAAGTGGTAAGACATAAGTTTTTGCGTAGTCAAACCAAGCAATTGGTTCATCAGCAGTTCTATTTCTCAAAGGTCGTTTATTTAATGTAACAGCTCACTATGTTTACTTTGAAAAGTCAAATGTGTAATTGGTTATTAGATACTTTTGTATATAATGGTAAACTTATTTAATAGTTTCCATGCATTAAACTCAGTAACATAAAGAGATTTTTATGAAAATTTATACATAAATTTTTTTTTATCTATCATTAAACACATTAAAAAAATCATAAATATATTATCGGAGCTTATTATAAAAAAGTTAATAAAAATTAGTGACAGCATCGTAGAAGCTAACAATTCGTCGTGCATTTTGAAAAGTCAAGAGTGCATTACTTTTGTTTGTGTGGATTAGGTAAGCATAAAATATTTAGTCCAACCTAATTCACACGTGAACGTATAACAAATAAACAATTTGTGTATGAAACTTAGATTAATAAACATTTCTCCTTCCGTAATTATTAATGGTTTCAAATTGATTACACTGAATGTATGAAATGGATTTTCAATTATTTCAGGTCAGCATTATTGTATAGATTCCAAGAAACGCCACGTAAGAGTTAAAATAGGGTATTGATCCGTTATTATGGTTGATATAAATTTTTAAAGTTTTTTAAATGTATGTATAAATGAACACAATAAAAAATTAATAAATGATAAATTTTTTATTAAAAATTGTAACATTTAGTATTATTAAAGTATTGGATTATGTTATTTTTTATAATTTTCAATTAATAAATTTTCTAATTTAAACATATAAGAAATTATGCATGTGATACCTTAATTTTCTATTTGAATTTATGTTTAATAAAGAATTTGTTATAAAAAGATAGAATATATTTTTTAATTATATTTGTTTTAGTAAACATTACTTGAATTAAAACTTACTGTAATAAAAAATTTCAATATATAGAAACAGCAGGTTATAATTGTTGCTCTTAACATATATCACACTCTAAAATTTTTATTTTACATTGTAAAGTATTAAAGACTCTTAGTCAATATTCATACATTGTTACAAAATTTAAATATAAATTAAGATGTACTAGGCTCCTATAGATATTCTAATTTATAAACATTGAAATACAAAAAACTAATAACAAGTAAAGAGTGAGATTCTAATTCGTATTTATATGAGATAATAAATAACAATTAGGTTAACTATAATAAGTTTGGCATACAAATCATATCATTCAATTATCAATAAAGCATATCAATTATGACAATAAAATAAGTAATTGTGATATGGATACAACATATGCTTGTAAAGCTCAAGTTTTAAAACATTGATTCATAGATCATTTGATAATAAATGAGCAAGAAGACATGACTGTACCTCATAGAAATACTCAGTCAATTTAAATTAATACATTTGGTTCTAACCATGACAATGGTTCAAATTAAATAGACTAAATACAAAAATATATAGGACTATAACTTGTGCTCCAATTTACTCCATTTAATATACTCGGAAAGGATGTCAGCTATCAAGTTATCCTCACTTCATCAACTTAATTCTAACCTCTCATTCTTTCCTATCTTTGGGGACCAATTTTCTTGTTGTCACGCCCTTTTTCAGACATTAGGTAAGTCACACTTGAAATTTCTTCTTTGATTCTTTGAATGCTCAATCTAAATATCAAAATATATAAAGTTTTTATCAAGATGGCCCGGCAAATTCTATCAATATCCAACAAGAAGACTTGGAAAAGTGAATTTTGGCTTTTCTATTTATGTAATTAGGAGACCTGAAAATTCATCTAAGCTAAAACCCTAAAGTCTTCACAAATTAGTACCAGTCTCTTTCCCAAAAGGACTCGATCGTCTTACTAGCTAGAAGAAAACCTTATTTACTAAATTGAGAAACCTATATGTCTAATGTTCTGACTCTATTTATTACTATATGAACATTACCACGCATTTGTATAACGGATTCAATTGCTTGATTTTATTGATGCTACAAGGGTCCCAGCCAGTGCCAAATACGTGTGATTGTTTTAATTTTCTTCGTAATGAAAACGATGCTTGCACACTAATTTTAATACACAATTAATAAAATATTATATATATTATTTAATGTAGTTAAATTAATTAAATTATATTTTTGGTACTTAATGAAGGTTAGTCTAGTTGATAAGAACTGAATTCGTATCTCTGGATTCAAATCTCATTGCTAATGTAAAGATGTTATTAGTAGATTATATGTAAGTACTTTTGCAAGCACTTTATTTGATTTTGGTGAGCCTTCAGAACTCAGTTAACCTAAACTTTGATTCACCGTAAAAAAAATAATCAGATCAATAGAAAGAAACAAGGATATGAAAAAGAAAGATTAATGGCATTGGAAGTCATTAACAAGTGACATCAAAACGTCATCAATGTGGCGAGAGGGAAGGAAGCTCAATGCCATATTTTTCTTTTTAATTTTTTTTAAAGGGATACAATTCTAACTTTTTGCTATTAAAATATGAATAAAGTTTTAAATCAGTATAAAAATTTATATGTAAGAGACATATTTATTAGATTAAAAGTCAAATATATAATAAACCAAAAAACCTCGTTAAAAGTAGTAATTCTCGCCATAAATCATAAGTCATTCTAAAGTACAAATCACAAATAAAAATAATCCTTTAAAAAAATATACACATATTCAATTTAATATATATTTTGTGTTAGTGTTTATCTAAGAATAAAATAAGAAGATTACTATAATTTAGTATGTTCTTGGTTCAATTTAGTTCATATGATATTGAATATGAGAACAAAACTTACAATGAAATCAAACCGCACAAGAAAACGTTTTTTTTTTTTTTGGTAATTTTTTCAATTAACAGTTTATTTAACTTTTAGATCAATTTAGTGTTTTAGATTGATTCCTAAACACTCTTACCCAAGTCTCAACTAACCAAGCAACTTCTTTACGAACCAATGAGCTAATAACGAGGAGGAGGGCACTTTAGCTCTTCTTTGGTCAATGAAGCTATTGATACAAACATTAATTTCTCCAAAAGCATCACTCATTCAGTCATCCATTCCAAGCTGTCACTGGGGAGAGGGGATAAAGTTATTAGCATTGCACATATTGTGCTGTATAGTTGTATTTATCATTAACTAAACCATCACCATTTTGTTCTCAATTAGTTAATTAAACTTAATTACCATTCATTTTATTAGTTAGCATTGATATCAATTATTTAGGCTGCATGCTGTTCACTACAGATACATGCATCACATTTGTATCATTCCTTTATTCAATCTAATGCAATGAGTTTCCTTTACAGAATTCCTTTCTCATTATTTAAAATTTGTGATCTTAACAACTAATGAAATGAAAAATTCAATAAAGAACACAATGAAATTATAGAGAAGGCTACGGGAAAAGTTGAGAATGTTGTATAATTAGTGAATTTTCATATGCAAAGGAAAAATTAAAATTGTTAAAAGAGACTTTTAGGTATGAAATGTATAAAATTTGATTTTATTAGCAACAAGATTAAAGAGTTATCTAAAGTTATCAAAGAAATTGGCGGTTAGGATAAGGTGGAGGATTTAGTAATATAGAAGAAGTGGAAAGAGAAAGGTAGATGTGGTGACCTGTGAAATGATTTGAAGGTAAAGGATAGCTTGTTAAGTCAAAAGGCCAAATTTAAATGGCTCAAGGGAGATAAAAATATGAAAGAAATTAAACCTAGAAGGAGGTATAATCATATGAACGATTTACACTCTTGAATGGCATATGGGTGAAAAATCTTAATGAAAGAAAGGGATGGAAAATTTAATACAATCCTCTCAAAGTTCTTTGTCTAATGCATTCATATGCCATTCATTAGGATGAAGTATAATGAAAAAGTTTCTCAACAAGATTAACGAGGATTTGTTCTTCCTCAAAACATGAAAATGGAGGTATTATGGGTGCAAAGGAAACAAATTCGTACAAAATTTGGTAAAGTTTCTCTTTAGGGATTAAAAATTAAAGAAAGAGAAAAAAACTTGTAACGGATGAAACATGAACAACAACAATGATTTTTAAAAATATTTTTTTTTTATTAATTTTACAGTAGTTCTTTTAAGGGTTGTAATGCTACATTAATATAATTTTAACATCTTTTACTTATGTTTACGAATTGCTAAAATAATTTTATTACTCTGTAATTTTTTATCAAATAAAATTATAAATATTCTCATCTATAATTTTTTTAATGGATAAAATTGTAAATCATTAATTGACACATAATTTTCCAAATTAATCTCTAATATATCCAAAAGGATATTTACTATTGTGTTGAATAGATATAAAATAAATTTTCATATTTATATAATTAAAACATTAATCCTGAGTCTTTTTACTTTCATTTAATTTTACTACAATTTTCTTAGTGTTTTTGCAATTCATTTAGCCACAAGTCCAACATCGCATGATTGATCCAACCATGTTGACATATATTTTCAATTTTCATCCAAAAAAAAAAAATTAACATGTTGCCTTTGGTTACTTCGATTTGATCCATATATGTAAATGACAAAGCCAGTTAGCATACTTGCTAACACACCTTCCAAAGACATAACTTCAAAGTCTAATATCCAAGTTAAGAGTAGTGCTTGGTATATATGTCTACCTATTGCTTTGAGGAGTGTTAGGATAACATATAATTTTGGTGAATATTAATGATATATAGCCGTTAATGTTACTTATAAAAGTTTGAATTAGTTATTTCCATTAATTTTTAATGTAACAATTATCTTAAATTATGTATGTGTAGAGCTGATTAAGTAATAAAATGACTTTAATTTTCTCTTAATTACTGAATCTTGTAGCTATTAGCAGCACTAAACTTAAAATGAAGTTGGAAGTGTAGTTGGATTAAGATAAAAACAAACAGTGTATAAGGTAAGCCAATTTCATGATGGGCCACTATTTATTAATCATAAGCAGGTCCGACCTGAGGGTAGTTTAGAAGTATGACCGTCCATAGCCTACACTTGAAAGAAGCCTAAAGTAAAAATCATGTTTTGTTTTCAGGTGAAATTTTTTTTTTAACTTTTAATCGTAGTTTGTAGTTGAAAAAAAAATAGAAAAATAAAAAAGACCCTTCAATTTTTTGTATTTCACTTGCCATAAATGTAGTCAACTCTTTAACTTCTCTAAACTCAAAACTTTATTTAATTCTTAAATTTTACTCTTCTTAGCATTAAAGTTCATGAAGAATTTTTAGTTTTTTCTAAAAAATTAAACAATTTTTGAGTTTGTCAAATATGTAAATTGTTATCTAAATATTTTAATCACTTATAGTTTTTTTTTTACACTTCCAAAAACTATAGCTAAAGAATTTTTTCAAAGCTAAAGTTGATCAAAACATACCTAAGATCATCAATGTCACAAAAACGATTGAATGATCTCGTAATTTTATTGATTGAGAAGGAAATTTTAGAAAATATTGATGTTAATGTTATCATTAATGATTTTACATATCAAAATGTTCATATAACCTTTTTTTTTTATAATTTTTATGTTTTTGTAGTTAATTATCACATAGGAGTTATTTAAATAATTGGATATTTTTTTTGTAATTTTATTAAAAAGAATTATATTCACTTAAAAAAAATTATATTATTTTAATAGAATTATTAACATATATTTTTATTTTATTTTATTACATTTTATAATTTTTTTGAAATGAGTCTAATTTTCTATTTTGGCTATAGCCTTGAAAAGGTCAAGAATGGGCTTGATCATAAAGTATACAATAAAAATATATTATGGCTGAAATTTGAATATGTATGTCACTTAATGAATAGGTAACCAAAAAATTTATATATATTGCAATATGATCCATAAAAGAAGATTATTTGTCTATTGTTAGTTTTACGAAATATTTATTTAACTAGGAAATGTTGTAACAACTATTTATTTTTTAAAAATATTTTATTATCTTTTTTATTTTTTTAAATTTTTTAAAAATAGTGAAAATTTTATCCATTTTAAAAAATTAATATACTACTTCTAATTCTATTTTTAAAAATTAATAATTTTTATTTTTTCTAATCATAAAAATTAAATTCTATTTTTCTATATATTAATTGTAAAATTCTTTTTATATCTTATTTATTATGAAAGTGTATTAACATAATGCTCATTCATTATTTATACAAGTATATATATTCATTCATTCAATATATAAATTTTTTATTTTTTATTTAATAATACACAAGTTAAAAAAATTGTATTATAAATTGTTAAATATATTTGAATTAAAATTTATTTCTCTTAAAAAAAGCATATACAGAGAAAACTGCTCTTACTAAACGTGTTGGAAAGGATGATCAATAAATGGTTGTCGTGACGATGATTTTAATAGAAATAGATAAGTTAAATGGAGAATCAACGTCTTGAGTCTATACTGTTTCATCTTCCATGGTAGTTGGTCACTTGGTCCTTCTTTTTTTGCATAATTCCATAAATAAAATCTGTAAATGAATTGTGGCCTCAGCTTTTACTGTGCTATAGATTCCGTATAGATATTGTAGAAGAAAACAAAACTTTTTATGAATGCTTTGAACGAGTTGGCCTGAGATAGATAGTCAAAACCGCCGTCTCAAAAGCTTCGAAGTGATTTTCCACAAAGAAAAATGATTGACTAACTATGGAATCTATCAATTTGACCATCTTTTGAAATCCAATATCTCCATCAATCTCTTTCATTCTCTTAAATTGCAGTCAATATAGGCGACATTTAAATCTTCATCACTGCATGCAAATGCAATACATTAACCCTTATAAATAAAAATCCCCTTTACCAACTCATTACTTGGCCCATATACACTCAAAGGATATAAGCAAATTTCTTTTTTTTATTTTATTTTTGCAACCTGTGATTATTTTAAAGATTTGTGTATAATTATTAGATCAACATTATATTATGAGTTTTTGTTAACTTTAATTATGTTAACAAATTATGTTGATAAATGGGGAGATAGCACGTGTGAATTTTTATTTACGTACTCTTTTGACATGGATGTCATCAATTAAAAAATAAAATATTAAGATGAACAAATAAAATATATATCATTGAATTTCATTAGCAAACTAAGAGGCAGAAATAATAAAATTGGAAAATATGATAAAGTGAAAACGAATAGAGGCATATTATTAATATATATATATATACTTTGATAAAACCAATTTAATTATGAAAACATCAAAACTGGTGGGCATTGGAATGAATGGATTTGATTGGCTAAAGCATAACATCAACGATGCGCCACCGCCGCAGAATAAAATAAAAGAGTGGTGATTTTGGTCAAAGTTAATGGTCCACTTGGTTCTGTAGGAAGTCAGCAACCACTCTTCTCACTGCTTCCTGGAAACCAGCCTCGTCCCATTCACTTCCCTGCATAAACATCCAAACTTCATTATTCTTCACCAAAAACTTACCTCCTTTTCCCTTTTTTTCTCTCCCTTAATTATCATCTTTTCGTAGATAAAGAATTTATTTATTTAAACTATATTTTAAATTATTTTTTAGTTATTACAAATAATTATAACTTATATTTCGATTATTAAATTTACATTAAAACATATATTTTCTCGATAAAAAAAATATAAGAATTAACTTTGAAACTGCAATACAAATTAGGGCATAGTCTTTGGGTGAGACTTTTTGTTTTATTTGTTTGAGGGCTTTAGTTTGATTTTTAAAAATGAAACTGTGGCGTAGATATTAAGCATGACAAAAGAAGAGTGGCGTATTAGAAAATGTTTCTTGACCGTTTAACTGAAATAATAAAAAAATAATTCCTTCAGATTTTAGAATGCAATTTTAAGATGTGTATATATGATTAAAAAATAAAAAATATATATGCAAGAGATAAAAATAATTACATATTATATTTTATTTAATGTTAGTTCTTTTGGTAAAGAGGAAATGATTTAATGTTATAGTTTTTAAATGGTCTAAATACTATTCTTTTTGTAAATAATACATGCAATATAACGAAAAATTCTACCCCGAGGTTTTGAGGTATATTTTTAGGATGCATATATACTATAAAAATAATTATATAATATTCTGCAAATAATATTGATGTTTTCCTAATGATAAACTCTGGAAAATAATACATGCAATAAATATAATAACATTTTATAGTAGACTAGGTTCTATCTGGTAAAATTAGTTAAATATTCAAAATAAATATACTAACTCATAGTATAAATTTTATAATTAGCTAATTGAATTAAAGTTCTTAATAAAACTAACTATACAAATAATTAATATGCGTTAAAGCATAAAAAAAGCGTTAATTTTTTTTATGTGTAAGTATAAATGATTTAAAATAAAAAAAACTTCTTTATTTTTTATTATTTAATAATTATACTAATTTACTAAGATAATTATAAATTTTTAAATAAAATATAAATTTGTGTTATAAGGACAGTCTAGATCAAAACCTTGAAAGGGAGTTGGATAGCTACTCAAATGTGACGTTGTTTAGTCTTTTGTCTAGTTATTAAAATAACACTGAGCACCCTCGGCCACAAGTTGAGATTTCTTCTTTTATGAGGGAACTTTAAATGTATACAAATTATCAACATATGTATGCTGATTCATGTTTGATGGCTGCCAAACATAGAACCCACTTTTGAACTGAATATGTAGTTTGTATTATCCGCCGAAGATGACAAAGCACACCAAACCACCTTCCCAATCACAACGACACTTTCTAAGCTGCTTCCTTAACTTTAAGACATTGTACTACGTAAAAAAAATTATTTTTCATCTTTATACTCATCAACGGGGTTTCTAGGATCCTGCACTAATCTTTTTCTTCATCTATTTGTCTGATTTGATTATGGATTCTACTCTCATAATGCATTACTAGACTTTTCATGCAGCCACCCCTTTTGAAAAGTTTGATACATATATCATGCGCAAATAGTTATGTTAATAAAATTTTCTTTAATTTGAATATTTATATCCTCCATGCCCTTACATGGGTTATCAATTATCATACATGTTCCTTATTTACTGAAGCTAATTATATTTTGTGAACGTTGGCATGCTAAGTCTTTCTATATTTTAATATTATTTATGACATGAATACTGAAATTACTTCATAATATCCATACCTGAATGATACTTAGTCTGAAGGTTAGACGATGAAGGGCATTTCCTTCTCCAATATTATGGGTGTTTGCATCCATGGAAGCCAAGTTCACGTGATGAACCCGTTTTAAGAATTCCAATAAGCTAATCAATATGTCAATTTGAGAAATTTGTCCTCTCACATTCACTTGCAAGTCCACCATTCGCTCTTCAGATGAGCTTGATTCTGGTACATGTGAAACTCGGACATTTAATCTTTCATTTGATGATAAACTAGCCATGGTTTCAGCAGTCGTTGTAGATTCTTTGGCTGGTAAAATTGATGTCAACTCTTGATTTCTTTTACTTAGTTTATCAACTTCAGCCATCAAAGAGCTCAATGTCTCCTTTGCTGTTGTTAGTATTGACGCTTTGTCTTTCTAACAAATTACCATTTTCAAAATCAAGCTAGGATTTAATTTGGAATGTATAACACATTTAAAAAAAGACAAAACCTGGTACAATATCTATATCGTGTTGTTCTCTACCTAAAATAAGTATTTCATCACGATAACTGTTGCTGTTATTAGGATAAAATGTCAATTTTGATTAAAGAAAAAAAGCAAATGTACTTACTGTATTTATGTTTTGTTAAAATAAAGGTACATGCACCATCATTGTATGCAATCTGCAAAATGCATTGCCTATAAAAGAACGTTGAATTGATCAATTTGTGTACCTTTGTTCCTGGAGGAAGTAGTGCTCTAAGTGCTTGGAAATTTTCATTTAATTTCTCACGCCTTCTTCTTTCTGATATCATATGATGAAGCTGGGTATTAGTGGGACGGGAAGTTGCTTGAATGCGTTCTCTCATTCTCATAAAATTTAAGCTTCTAAAAAATGCAAATGATCTATTCATAAGGCTTTGCCTTCTGAAATTGGACCCCATTTGGGGTGTCATATTGGGGCCTAAGTCTGGTCTATATCTTTGGAAAGCACTAGCTTCTGGATGCACAACAGAAGCATAAGGCAAATTTTGATGCTGATGAGAAGAAGGTGGAGATAGAACATGGAGGATTGCTCTCATGATTGCATCATTTTCTGATGTGGGGAACTGGGTTGGAGGGACTACTTGTGCCAATGCTTGGATGGCTTGGTGGTGTTGGCTAGTGGCTGTGTTTGGCACAGGTTGCATTGGGGGCACTACTCCTCCAAGGGTCTCTGGAAAGTGTGATTGAGAAGTGGCAGGAATACTGAATAGCAGAGATGAGTATTCAGGGCTTCCTGTGGATATTGATCTCAAAGAAGATGAAGATGATGAAGGTGGGTTTTGATCAATTTGTTGAGACTGTCTAGAAAAATCTTCAGGAAACAAACTCCTAAGTGCTGCTTGAATGTCAACCTTCATAGATAAGGAAAAAAGAAATTGTGGGAAATTAGAATTCAATTACAATACTGATTCATCTTTTGGCTAATGAAATGGCATTACATATCTTAATATGATGATATGTAAAGTTGCTTACTTGGGACATATTTAAGAAACCAAGCTCAATTTCCCCTTTGTTACACCCCATGAAAACAGCAGTCTGAGAAGCATAATTAAGGGCAAGCAATGACTTGACAAGATTAATCCTGGTTCATCATAACTAAAGCTTAGGAAACAAATATAAAGTATTTTCAGTGACAATAAACGAACCTTAATCCTTGCTTCCTGTGTAAAAACCAAAAACAATTTACCTTAGTAACATAGCCTTCATAAATAATTGCAAATAACATTGATTTAAACTTCGAAGTGAATTCTCTTTCAATTACCTGAAAGAATTGTGCTTGTATTTCTGTGGAGGCCAGTCTCAGAAGTTCTAATTGTTGCAACTCTACGTAAGGACGTTGATTCCTAAAAGCTAGTCCAGGAACACGGCTGAATGAAACAAACAAATCATATTTAAACATTTATTTTGTAGAAAAGAAGAAGAATTTGTTTATTATAACAGTCAAATGCAAAGAAGCATGTGAATTTACATTAAAAATTAGGGAGCATGATATCTAGCCTTACTCATCATTAACATCAAATGTTAAACTCCGGAACTGATTGAAAAGCCTTTGTGGTACAGTGCCCAAACTAGAGCTTGGTTGGTTGTTTCTTACATTGTAGAAGCCATCCAAGAAGGACAAGCGACTATGCCAAGAAAACAATAGAAGACCAAGTTGTAAGTCCAATAAACAAGCCTCAGAACTATGTTACTATATATATATGGAATAATGTGTACTATATCATGCATAAGTATACTTGGGTGAAATGGAATCATATTCCCATAGACAAATGTAACTGCAGCCAAAAGATTGCACTAGAGAGTGGATAAAATCAGTTCTGGCGGCTACAGGGAGGGAGAAGACACCTTCCATGGGGTGCAAGGAGCCTGATGCTAATACTTTTGCATTATATATGATCATGAGATCAAGAGTGTTATTGTTTTGTGTTTCTAATAATACCTTTTTTTCCCTCTCTATATGCCATTTGAATTGAATGGTATGAAATGCAATGTTTTGTGTGTGTGTGTGTATGTGTGTGAGGGAGGGAGTGGCTTGGCTTCATGGACAAAATAAACAAAGAAAAACCATATTATAGCGGTAGAAAGACGCTAGGTGCTGTAACTTGGGAGACAAATAATCCTCAATAGCTCATAAATAATTAACTATTGAAAATTTCAAGATGTTTATTCATGTGTGAAAGGAAAGAATGGATCAAAGGGAGAAAGGGTTTTGAAAAGTACTGAAGTAGGTGATACTATGTGGAAATGTATAGAATGAGACATGATATGAAGTGTGAAATTAAACCCAACGAAAGGAGTAGAAAATAAATAAAAGAAACGGTACCAAAAAGAGAATAATATATAAAAATAAAAGAAGCCCCACCTTCATATGGGTGTAGAGAAAATTGTCTTCCAGTTCCTGGGAAGTTGGTGTTTGAAAAGTAGTAGTAACAATCACTGAATGCATACATGAACATGTGAAGATCTAGAGAGATAGAGAGAGAGAGGGAACAAGAAATTGGGATGGTTTTAAGAATGGAAATGATGGAAAGAGAAAGCACGAAAGAAAAGTAGAGTAAGAATAGGAAGCAAATGCGGGGGAAGAAATTGAAGGTTGGAAAAGTAGTAAAGTCAAAGTCCATGCTTGAATGGTTTGAAAATTAGTCAAGGGTGGAAGGCACGGTGTTTCTTTCCACTTGACACCTGTTCAATTCTTTTTTAAAATTCTACTTCTCACTCTGCAATTTTATTATTTCCTTGCTTCCCCCAAACACCTTATTATTTTAAGCAGAGACATATAAGAGGAAAAATTAACCTTAGTCTATTGTTAATACTTCTTATAATAATACCAACTTGTCCTTATTAATTATTATGAGCTGTAGACTAAAGCTTCTGTGTGCCAAGAGATTATATAAACATGCTTAATAGAGGCAAATAAATCAACTATTTGTTTAACCATGATATTATATCGTAACTTTGACTATGACTTTTGTAGTTAATTTGGACTGCTAAACCAGGTGGAACTTTATTATTCAATGACTCTACTCGAGTTACATAGCTTACTTAGAATTTCGACTGTTAATTAATATAATACGATCGTATTTTAAAAATTATTTTTAATAAAAATAGTTTTATTTTATTTGTTAGTATGTAAATCAAGTGGTAACGTTGTCATTTAGGTTACCATTCTACCATACACTAATCTTAAGTTATGTTGAATGTTCACAAATGTAAGTTTTAGAATACAGCAGCCACGTTTGATTCTTGAATGTCCGTGAGCTTCTAAGTACCATTAGCTTCTTGTGTGGTGGGGTACAAAATATTACTTTTATATCAATTCTAGTATTTGTTTCAAATAAAAGAATTTAATAGTTTTTATTAATTATAAATTAAAGTGTTACTCTACTACTACTAGCATGGAAAATGTTGATAAATTAATACGAATGTTATAACGAATAAAATATTAAATTATATATAAAGAAAATGAAAAATTGGTAAATTCTTTGCAATATATTTACTGACATTATGTTTACCTTAATTTTACTTTACATCATGAAATTATACTAAAATATTTATTTTCTATTATACAAACAATTTAAATGATTCTTTTAATACGAACTTGCTAGAATGCAATAAACGATATAATATAACTATATAAACGATTGAAATTTTAAATATTTTTTTACAGATCTGATTTCTCTGGACATGTGCCAAGAATTGGAGTCTTATTTTTATTTAAGTAAGAATGAATTTGTCTAAGTAAATTCTAAGAAAATAACAAAAAATTAAGTAAATTTGATTGATTATATTTAAAATTTACTTAAGTTTTGTTTAGGTGTTTGGAGAGGGAGAGAAAGAGAGATTTTGAAGGGAAAAGGAGGAGAGAGAAAGAGACTTTTTTTATATTTAATATTAAAAAAAGAAGATGATAGGAGTTAATTATAAAATGAATATTATTATTTTTTATAACTTTTATTTTAAAAAAAATATTTTTTTCTCTAAATTAATAATTTTATTTTTTATATATATATATTTAAATTTAGAATCATAATTATAAAATAGAATAGGAGAAAAAAATATTCAAAAGAACTCAAAATATTAACATTAAAAAAAATTTCTAATTCAGTTGTAACTTAAAAATAAAGGTTAAACTCTAACATTTCTTTTTTCCTTTCTTCTCTCTTAAACGTAACATTACATCTAAACATAATTTTAAGTAAAAGCTTTTCACACAACCTCGACTTCTTTTTTCTCTTCTTTTTTCCTCAAGCCTTCCTCTCCACCCCACTCAACAACCACTAACTCCACTCCTTCTTATTATTCCCAACTTCTTTTTTCTTCTTCTATTGGTCAGCTCCATCTTTGAGCCTCTTTTCTCCTTCCTTTTGCTATTCCTATTCAACCTCTTCCTTTATTGTTGTGACAAATTTGTATAACAAATTTTAAATTTGTTTAAGTAAATTTTGTATACATTTTTTGTATTATTTTAAAATTTTGTTCAAGTAAATCTATTTTGTTTAAAGTAAAAATAAAACTAAATTTTTAATTTTTGTCATAAGAAGATTCAAATCCATTTTGTATGTAGGTTTATTTTATGCACCTACTTATGTGTCCCATTGTAAAATTTTATACATACATACATATTTAACATTTTACAAGGAAAGTACGTGTAAGAGTGTTAAAACAACGATGTGGATGAAACATTTTTCAATACTTACTTTCTTGAATTATGTTTTAGGTTGAGATGTGACATGAAACAAATGTCAAACCGCATTTGTAGTTTCTTTGTAATTTAGTGTGTATGTTAGGAAAAATAAATTTAAATAATTGTTTATTCTTAAAAAAATTTAAAACTTAATAAACAACAAAATTTCTTTAAAATATGTTAAACTAATATGTATCAAGTTAATATTTTTTAATTGTGTGATTATAATTATAGATAATAACCTATATATAACAAGCTTTATTTAAAAATTATAGAATTTAATTTTCAACAATATTAAAGGAAAAAAATTATGTATTTTTTTCTTTACGTTTTGTTAGTACTATTTATTAATAAAAATTAAAGTTTTATTTTATTAAAATATTTATATTTATTATTATTATTATAAATTATTGAGATAAAACTTTGATTTTGATTAATAAATAAGTACAGACTATACTTAAGTTTTGTCTAATATTATATTTTATATTTTTTAATAAAATCTTATTATTTTTTATTATATGTCATTTACGTTTAACAAAATCAAAAATTAATTAATCTTTACCTTTAAGTTGTACCAGCAAGCTAGTATTAATGACACAAATTATCACTGAGCTTCTGAGCATGAAATGATTTGAGTTTATCAATGACACTATCTTGAAATATAACAACAATGAAAAGATGTGGGAAATTTAAGAATAATAGATAGGTTTTGCTGCGACGATTTTGAGGTATAATGTGGATATTTTTATCTCTAATCACGTAACGGGTTTTGTGGGTATTTTATTCGAAAACGGAATTTCAGGATAATAATTACTTAATCGATACCTAATTCAAAAGAGTAATATTCATGTGACTTTGATTGGCACTGTTCCCAATATTGTCACAATGAAAAAGTGATGTTTTGAAACAATTTAAGGAATTTGAAAAAGGGAGAAAAGCAAAAGAGATGGATCAGGAGAAAGCAAATTAAGGTCAGTTAAAAAAAATTGAATGTTTCTTCTATGCTAAAAAGGAGATATGATGAAACATATGAAACATCGATCAAATATTGTCATTGTTTAAAGAGGGAGACAAAATAACAAAAGTAAACAATGCAAAGAAAGATAGCGAGAATAATGATGGTGTTGCCATTGCCACTGCAGAAAATTTTGCATCTATGATACGTATTTTGACTAAGGAAAATGTTTTTATGGACAATTTTTAGCAATGATTTTATGTTGTCTTTTTACTTGTTTTTAGTGTATTTTTGTGATACACATAAATAGAGGGGAAAAAAAGTAAGTGAATGATAAAAAAAATTATATACAATATCAAGTAACTTTTCATTGATTAAATAACAGAACTATTTGACTATTATTTGTTGTGGTGAGGCAAGCTAAATTAACTTGTTTACAGCGGTATATAATTATTTTCATGTGATTTTAAAGAAGGATTTTTATTTTTTTTGTTCTCATATTACTCTCGGAGGTGGGGTTTTAAATAAGGTTAATGGTGGGGTATGTGAAAAGTGATTAGCATAGTCACTAATTGCTTAGAATTAACGATTAGAAAAAGTAAAACTTGAAGAGTCAAACACACACCGGAAATGCATGCATCTGCATTTGATACTTTTGCTAGTGTTCATGATGATGGTTAAATTAGTACCATTGGTGTTCATTAGCCACGTTAATTAGTAATAAGGAGTTTGGTTGTTTAACAAAGAATCTAGTTTTGGGCAAATGTGTGTGGCAACTGTTGAACACTTGGCTGGGAAATAGAATAATCTTTTACAGGAACCATCGTCGACCTTGGAGAAAATTAAAGTTGCTTAGTTGTGCATTTAGATTAGTGACGACAAAAATTACTTGTAATTTATTATATCTTTATGATTAATAGTTCTCTACTTTAAAAAGAGAAAAAAAAAAAGTTCTCAGTTCAAGTTTAAGTAATTACTCATAAAAAATTATGAATATGGGTTGAGGTTTGAGTATTACTCTTATAATATTCACTCCGTTATATACTTTCTTTATATTAACATTGATATCATTTTATTAATTTGTAAAAAAAAAGACTTGTTTCAAAGAAGATGTTTCATTTAATTGAAATGTAAATAATGAGTTAAATCTAAATATATACTTAAGAATTAATTCATTAAGTATATATGAGTTCTGTTAAAGTTATCAGTGTGT